AAATATAATTTAATGTTTTTTATATTTAGTTATTATGTTTAATAGAATTATTATCATTTGTAATATTTATTATATAATATATAATAAAATTTCAATGTAATTTCAATATATAATATATAAATTAAAAATATAATAAAATTTCAATATATAATGTACATATAATGTATATATAATGTAATATAATGTATACTATTTTGGAAATTAATTCTAGAAATCAAATTAAATACAAATATAATGATATAATGATATAAAAATATCAAGTGAGATTTATTTATTAAATTATAAATAATACAAGACGTTTGCATTAGATGAAATTAGATTAGATAGAAACAGATTGAAATTGCTGTCTCTGTTATACCATTATTGCAATTTATTCTTGTCTTGTTTCATTTAACATAAATTTAAATTATTTACAAATAATAATTTGTAAATATTAATAATTTATATTATATATTATATTATAATTTGTAAATATTAATAATTAAGCCTGATTGATATTTTATATATTAATTTTATATACATATATTTTTATGTTTGTTTTGACTTTATTAAATTTCCAAATGTATTCTACGAATATATTAATATATGTATACATGCGTGTCTGTGTATTATGTGTATATATTAATACTTTATATATATAATATAAATATTCTAATATATTATATATATATATATATATATATATATTTATTATACAAAAAATGTATATTTATTATACAAAAAATGTATATTTCTATATATATATATTTTAATTATAATTATTCTCTGATTTATTTAATTTTATTCACTTTCGTGTTTTTAAGTTTTCTATATTTGTTTTACTTTATTTTTAATTTTTTCGAAATCACTGTTCATAAGTTTCAATCAAAACAAAATGTATTTAATTTCATTTAAAATTATGTAAGTTTTTATTCAAATTTTTTATTTTATTAAAATTTATTTTTTTTAGTGCTATAGATGATTATTTCTTATGTTTATTGTTTTATTTTAATTCACAAAATTATACATTATAAAATTAATTATAATTATTAAAATTAATTAATCATTAATTTGATATAATTTGATACATTTGATATATTAATGATGATAAATGATGAATAAAACAAACACGTGATTAGAAATATTATGGTGTGAAGATACACTATATTATTTGCAGTATTTGACAGTTTTCTCTGCAGATATGTGGATTTTCTATGGCATTGGTATACAGTCTGTGTATATTGTAAGTGGCTGCGGTATTCGGCTAGTCAGATCGATGAAATGCCGTCGTCGTGGCGCCTCGTGAACGCCCAGTCCTGCTGTCTTGACTAAATTTGTGCTTTTGGGTCCACTTAATGTTTTTTATATTTTTAAAATAACGAATATTGTTAAATTATCCATTTTTAAAATATATATAAATTCGAATATCAAGAATGAAACTAATTCTACAACTGCTCTATCTAATCTTTAATCTTCAATTTACGATATTTATAAATCATAATTTGAAAAAAATATAGTAATAATTATATTTAGCAATAAAAAAGAAAAAAGAAAATATGTTAAACTTTTTACTTTTCTTCGATATATTTATGTCGAATATAAGAACTAGACAGTTAGAAGAGAATCTATTAATGTTCATTGTGCAGACGATGGTAAGAGGTATGCAAACGTGTTTTATCACAGAGGAAAAATTTGAAATCTTTAAAAGGAGGCCACAGACATTGTACTTGCTCTCTCTGCAAGATATGAAGTGTAAAATAATTCGAACGATGTAATAACGATGCCGATGCAAATGCTAAGGTACTTAATAAGCACAAGTGCACATATTACTGAACAATTTCTAGAATTTTACGCTTCGCCAAGTTTTTAGTCACGGACTCTTTAATTAGTATTTTAATTGAGTAAAAATTTTAAATATGCATTTATGTTGAACTATGCTATCTCAGAACTTATATTTTTAAATTTTATTTTTTAATAAGATATAAAATAATATTAAATTCAAATAATATTTTTATAATACTTGTTCACTTTTTTGATTTGCTTTTTAAATATTATGCTTTTTTTTTGTGATGCTTTAATTTTTTTTTCTTTTTATCTTAAATACAAAATTATATTTATAAAAATAAGAATAGAAAATTTTCAATTAAGTAATACATACATCATTACTTGTTGTAAATTGAATCGTATATACAGATTTCGTGCGCATCAAGACGTCACATGTGTCGTCGCGATATCTTGCGTATGAATGCATTTAGTTACGTCATTGCATAGGGATATAGAATAAGTGCGGAACGTAGAGCGCATCGTCATTACGAGAAGAGACAGTATCCGACTCGAAGAGATGCTACATATATTTTGGTTTCCGATACTCTCAACACGGTTAGTAAGAAGTGCCGCTCAATACTAGCGCCGCGCACTATGGCCAGCACTGTAAAACTTCTGATTTGTACCCCGATCATATTTCAATTCTATTTAAAATTATATTTTGATAAAAATGTATGAAAATATTATGGAAACTAAAGATATTTAAATAAAAATGAAAACTAAAAATGTTTTAATAATTTGAAATATTAATTAATATTGTGTATAAAATATTATATGTATAACATATTCTTTTTTTATAAATTTAATTTTCTCTCTCTATATATATAATATGTATATACTTATATAATTATGCTTTTGATAATAGAAAGAGAAAAGAAAATAAATCGAAATATTTTTCAAAGAGAAAAATTAAAAAAGAAAAATTTGAAACAATAGAAATGAATACATAAAAATATTTTTGATATATTCATGTATTTGGAAAAGTTAGGATGGAAATAAATCATTAATAGGGTACGATATTTCATAGGTACAGGGTTGAAGATTGTGAGATGCAATGCGGCAATCGAAGACTACTAACGAATCGATATATCGACCGTATGATCAACAAACATTTTAATTATACATTATTATATCTTTTTCATTTCCAATGATTTAGATTTCAAAAATATTAAATAAGTATAAATAATTGTTTATCTGTAATTAATTAATTTGATTATAGTTATTACATAATTATATTTGTTGCAATTAGAAAATATATAAATCGCAAAAAATTTGGTAAATAAATAAAAATAAATGAAAAAATGATAAAAATTATAACTGCAGTATAACTATATCTATACCTTCAAAATATTCTCATTACATAACATAGCTGTTCCTGAAATGTACCTGAATTATTCTTCAAAATATAATCTTTTAAATTTTTAAAATAGTTTCAAAATAAAAAGTTGTAAGAAAATATTATAAATTTAATTTATTTATTAAAAACAATTTTTTTTTATATATTTAGATCGAATAAAGTAAAATTTTTGTAAAATAAGAAATTACAAATTGTAAATTCATAGTGCATCATCATTCAATTTGCATCTTTGAAAAAGGGAATTATTAGTCTTATATTAAATCGATAATGATAAATAATTTCTAATAATATAATTACATTTGTATCATTTATTGAAATTTTTTTTAAATTATTTTTGATGTTTGAACTGTTTAGAAAGAAAAGAGAAATCAAAGTTTGTAATTTAGAAAAAAAATTCAATGAAAGATTACATTTCTTTAATTTTGTTTTTATTAGATAATTGAACATTTAACAAATTATAAATTTTGTTCTTACTTATTTATTTCAATTTTATAATGAAAAAATGCATTTTTCGTTTTTTGTTTAAAAAAAAAATCGTTTTAATAATATAAAATAAACGAATATAAGAAATACAGATACATATTCTCCCTGCAGTGCGACAAATATATGTGGCAATCATCGAGTGTGACATAATATAGTTATTGTCGCATATATGTTTATATGTTTATACTTATTTCTATTTTCATAATAATAATAATAGATTTAATATTAAAATCAATTTATAGTAATATAATAACTATATATATATATTATAGTATATAATAAATAATAATTAATATATATGTTTAACATGCACGTATATTTATTTCAATTGAAATATTTTTAATATTTCAATAATAGATTTAATTTTAATAGATTTAATTTTTATTATTAGTAAAATAATAGATTTTATTTTAATAAAAGAAAATTATTAAATTAAAAGAAATCAATTTTATGTTATATAAAGCATTTATAAGAATTTTTATAAAAATTAAGTATAATTTTCTATTGATGATTTGAAAATTAAAATTTTATCATTTTAGATAGTAAAACATATATATATATCTAGAAAATTTCATCTAGAAAAGATAAGATTTCATACTTTTAAAAATTATATATCATTATTATTTAATTATATTATTTTTATAGATTTTTTTTTCTATACAATTGAATATTAAAAATACCATTTTAAATTTATTTATTTCAACAAGCATTTCAATGTTTTGCCATATAAGTGCATAAATTACGAGCAAGAAACAGTTCCTTAATTTCTCACGGTGTGCCGGCCGGCGCAGACAGACGTATCGCGTGTTTCTTAGCTAGTCATTATTTCACCCCGTAACATTTTCCCCTAAATAACCGCACCCATACTGCAGAGTATGACCAATGATGACCTCCAAGTTTCAATGATACTTTTTAGTTTTTCCTCGTTTCCGGTGCAAGTCCTTTCCCTCGATACCGGCGTTTTCTAACATTGTACCGTGCCGGCCGGCTTTGCCGGTCATATCAGTCAGTCACATATACATGAGCATGTATACATGTATACAGAACTAAAGTGGTACGATTTCGTATCCCTGGCTATTCGAGTATGTAATACACAATCTGTATATATCAGTATAGTATGGACCCCGTTATACACCTAAATGGGGCCTACATTGCGACGTTTCCGATGCTGTGGCAATGTGTATGTGTGTATAAACCGAATGACTAGATGTTACGGGCAGTCTGGAGGACTGCGCGAACGGAACTAATCGCGTCAGTGCGCATCGCTAGTGGGGATACCGGAACGATCTTCGTAGAGGGGGTGTCTTTGCATGGTAGCGGCAAAGGGTATCGCAGTCTGTCAGAGAGCCGGCAGCCCGCAACGCGAGAGTTGCTGCCGAGTTAATTCGAGTTTGAGTATCGTTGATTGAAACATAGGGGGGAAGAGACATTTGTGAATCGTAGTAAAGAATTCGTTATTACCCGTCTTTAGATAAAAGGAACATTTCGTCTTCGATCTACGTTTAGTGTCGCTGTGTCTTACGACGGTTCTCTCTCGCAGCACCCTCTTGACCGTATTTGTAAACTACTTGGTCTTCTGTCGCTCTCCATTTGTCCCTTTTCTGTTCCTATTTCTTTCTTTTTTTTCGTTCTCTCTCTTTCTCTCTCTCTCTCTTGTTTTCTTCTTTTTTTTTTTTAATGCATCGTAAACGAAAAAGTTGATTTCAAGAGACATATTGTTAACAAATCTGATTGTTCTCTCAGTTTCCTAACTGGATATATTTTGTAAAATTGCCCTTTTCGTGGGAGGAAAAACGTTCCTGGATATACCACATATCGAGAAATCGAAAAATTAAAACTGGATAATCGTGTCACCTAACGAGGTAAGGCAAAATATCTCTTTTTACAGGTATTAGTACTCTCACTCATCGGTGTGAGTCGTTAAAATTGTAAAAGTTGTAAAAGCAAGTGGTGGGATTGAAATTTCACAAAACTATGTATAGATTTTATCGGTTGACTATGTGAACGCGGGAGGGGTTGTTACTAAGGGGTAGACTGCAGTGGCGATACTAGGGTACTATTTCATACTTTTATTTCAATATTTAAAAAAAATATTATATTGTTTAGAGATTGACGATACGAATCATTTCATTTTTTAATTTTCTTTTTCTTTCAAAAAATACACTGACATTAATCAAAAAGTACAAAATTCATCAAAAATTGTTATCATTATTTATTATTTTCTTAATCTTTAATTACAATCAATGCTTCTCTGAATTTCTACAATCTTCTTAGAAAAAAAAAAAAAATCTTTTGAAATTCACGATTTAAGAATAGGCGCTTAATGCCCTGTTTTGTAGTCAGCTAGCCCGAATTTGGATCAATGATCTAAGGTTGTAGCAGAGAAGCTCGGATCCTGCGCATTCAACGATAGGACATAGCCCTACCGCTTTTCAGGGAAAGGGTCGTGCAAATCCTGCGCAATACTTAACGCTAACACTGTCCGTATGAAATCGCGGTGAGACGACACGGCTTTTCATAAATTTCTCTTCAAAATTTTCTTGCTCCGGTAAGATTTTATCATAAATAATAAATGATCATATATGTACAAATCTTAATGGGTAGCATCTAAAATATTTTTTGATTATCTTCTTAATAAAATCGTTATCATGAATATAAAAAAAAAACAGAATTAATATAATATTTTTTTATTTAAAATTAATTCTTTGTATTTATAAGAATATATATACTATATGTATATTTACTGTATATACATACAGTAAATATACATATAGTATATATATAATAATATATACAATAATATATACAGTAGATAGTACATACTATATGTATATATAATATATATAATATATATATATACAGTACAGTAAATAGTATATACTATATGTATATATAATATATATAGTATATATATAGTATAGTATAGTATATATATAATATTGTATATTATATATATATATATATATATATATATATATATAATGTATGTGGAATATAAGTATGATGTTAAACGAATAATCATCATATGGTTTAAATTTTTTATCACAATTATATTATATTTGCATAAATATAGTGATATACAAAATGTGAAAGTAGTGTATCCATTCTAATAACGAATAAGGTGTTGTGGGATATGAGAATGCTGATGAAAGTATGATGTTATATACCATATCGGACATGATATCCAAAAAAGTGTTAGTGAAAAGTGGCAATCAGTGGATTGTGGTTAGACTATCGACTATCGTCAAGAAATTTGATCCGAATGACATATTTAAAGGCAAATTTTCCTTTGAGGAGAAACTAAGTGACAAATAATAAATGTCTCGTAACAGGGATCCATAACTTTACAAATTTCACTGGACTATCATTATCATTATACAAAATAAATATATTTGTATCAACAGCAAATGAATAATTGGATTATTTTTTGCATTTTGTTTTAGCAATGAGTACCACGGATCCTACTGGAGAGGGCGGAGGGGGAGGGGTGACGAGTACAATATCACCAACAAACGTTGAACAAAATATATCTCCGGTTATACCGGTGACCGGTAGTGCGGTGCAACCAGGCTCTCAACAACAGCATCCACCACCGTCACCACTAAGCGGTTGTTACCTTCTCGTTGTGCTTCCAGAGCCTCATACTGCGCAGCATAAAGATCTCATCTTAAACCGTCTAGCGAAAGGTAAGTCTAACTTTCTCGTAGGAATAGTTTATCGAAATATATGATAATTTTTTGCAATTCAGAGAAAGAAAACAATACATTATAATAATTTTTTACGAAATTTGGGATTAGAAAAATTAGAATTTTGTATTCTGAAAAATTTTAGAAAATTTTTACAAACTCTTGATAGAAATTTCAAAATTAATTAACACACAATGTTCAAAAAATTAATTATTCTTTATTCTTATACGCACTATTTTAGACTTTTCTTTTTTTTTCCGCTAATACGCTAATAATTCGTATCATGATAAAAATAGGACATTATAATATAACGTGAAACATTTTTTTACTTTTAAAAAGGATCTAATATCATCGATAAATGATAGTAGGAACAAATTGATAAAATATATTTTATGAAATGTATTTTGGTGCATTTAACGTTTACAATTAAGATTATGTTATTATGATTTCACATATTTCGTCGTGTTAGTTCCGCACATGATTCCAAGCACTAACGGTTCTCTTTCGCTGTGCGTTTTCCTTCCGATTTATCGGACGAGCTTACCCAACAACTTTATACAGGTCCCCCTTGTTGCTAGGCGGAGTTCGAGCGGACGTTGGTTAGTAAGGAAATCGAGTGGTACCTCGATTCGTCATTAATCGTTAGTTGTCAATTTTTAAGAAGCATTGTAATTCGCTTAACGCTCAAACTTGTCTCAGTAAGTTAATTACTAGATTTTTTTATTACTCGAATAAATTTCCCTTTCAAAGATCAAGTTATATTTTTATAAAACATTAAAATAATTTGAATAAAAAATGATTTTCTTGTAGAAAATAAATAATCGATGAATAATATTAAAATGATTAATTCTATATAATAATAAGTTTTAAATATTCTGTTATTAATCGAATCGCGAATATAAAACAAATAGCGTTATTAAAAATATAAAAGAAATTATTTAAAAAAATTTATGATGTATCTTTTTTTTCTATTTATTCAAAAAATTTACTTATTCTACAAGTATTTTTTATTTTAGAAAGAGAATTATAAAAGTGAATAGGATACATTGTGTCGTTGATTACTTTTTTAATGAAAAGATTTATTTAATAATTTAATTCAATTGTCCCCAAAAAAAGAATCTATACAAAATAAGAAGTGAAACGAAAAATGTTAGTGATATGTTAACACGGATATAAAAATTTTTATGTATTAAACGAGAATTTTCATTATTATAGAGAATAAAATGGAAAGAGATGAATAGTAAAAAAAAAAAAAAAAAAAAAAAAAATAGCGAATAAAAGGAAAAATCTGTACTTGTGAGTTTGATGCGGTATGCGCATGTTAGACCGGCCTACGGCCACATCCCCGCAGTCACCAGAACTTCGATCAATAATCCATCTAGACTGTATGTAACGAAAATCGTTGCTATATATGTATATATATATATATTTATTATATATATATTATATATAATGACAATTTCATATTATTATTTTATAGTATAATTAAATAAACAATGATTGTATTTCTATTTACATTGCAACATGCATAGAAGGAAATAAATTGAACCAAATGTAAACACGCAAAGTGTGCATGTGGGATCAAAAAGGTAATAAAAGAGATGAATTAGGAGATGAGTTAGAATAAGAGGGATAGATTAAAAACTGTTGAATACTTGCTCAATTTTTAGTTAAAAATCATTTTCATAAAATTACTTATTATTTATTACTTTGTTTTCAACATGAAAAAACCTATAATATAAAAAAAAAATCTATGTGATACTATATTTAGATACTAGAGTGCATATGAAATCTGAATACTAAGCATGAAATTTCGAATATTTAAAAATATTAAGAATTTATATAATTTTTGAAGAATTACAATATAAAAAAAAGTGTATCTCATTTAACAAAAGATTCTATTGAATTTAATATATTGTATTAAATAACTTTGAATTGTTTTTTTATTAATTAATTCATTTTCGTACAATAGAAATCGTTGCATCTTCCACATATACTCACGAGTATATTCATTTGGATTATTTGCATACGATAGGTATGGAAACGTTAGCAAGTTTTATGTGACTCATGGGTTGCCCGTGTAGACACATTACAGAAAGGATTGGTAGAGCGGAAAGAAGGCGAGACGTGAATTCATTTGTGTACTTATTTTAAGGTACCTACACTTTTGACTTGCTCGTTATTCCAGACGATTATATTGTATCTTCTTCTCAGTATACTTATACGTGTTATGAATAAAATGCATAAGAAAGTGGGTAAAACGAAATATATGTATATAACTCTTAAAATGTTAAGTAAGATTTTTATCAAAAAAATATACGAGAAAGAATGTAATCATATAATATTGAAATATTAATAGCAGAGAAATATATTTTGTTATATTATATGATTTATAAATTGATAATTTTATATCATTTAGGATAAATCGATGTGTGCAAATATTTACATGAATTAATATACAGTAATAATGGTTATAAAAGGTTAATATGATAATGCGTATGGAGATACATGTATGGGTATGCATTTACAGATATTGTACGAGTAACCACACATACATAAGATAGGAAGGCATACTTGTCGGTATGAATCATGATTGAGGACGTGGGGAGCATCGCGAAAGTTGAAGTTATTCGATGCTTGTAATATCCGGAAGAACTTATTCGTCAAGACTTCTATCGAATCGAATGAGAAAAATTTACGTTTATATGCTTTATCGAGCTATACTATTTATTCAATTACGGGAGACGATGCGTGTACTAATTTAATTTTGCGCATGTACTTGTATGTATATATGTGTATCTCTATGTATATTATACATATATATCGTATACGCATGCGAAATTAAACGCAATTAATTAATATATGATGTGTGTATTTTAATTAAACATTAAGTAAATAACAATTATACTTTTTTTTTTTTTTCGAAAAAATAGATATTTTAATACATTATTCTTTCTTCAACATATGTTTTCTTCACAAAAATAAAATCTTTTTTTCCATCATTAATAATCGATAATAAATAGTTTTCTTCACAGATTCCAAAAAAAAAAAAAAAAAATATTGGTTATCGAAAGAGTTAATACGTTATAATAAAACTATTATCGAGCATTATTTTCTTTGGAGAAAATTTGACGTACTTCTAACGTAAAAATGAAAAGAACAGAGATATTTAGTAAATTATACAGAACGACCCTTCACAATTTCGTCGTACCGCCAACTGAATATAGTGTGTCTAATTTTATCGCGGCATTCGCTAGTGATTTGCTCTCTCGTGCAACGTGCTCTTCGAATCGTGAAACTCTGTTTCTCGGTTACCTTGTTCTTGAACCTGACCCTTACATCAAATAACATACTTACAGTTAGCATTGATACTCATCAAGTTATAAGACAAGAAAGATTTCCGATCTTCTCGTGTTTTTTATTGATAATTTCTTTTCTATCTTTTTCTTTTTTTTCTTTCGTTTCTATTGTTTCTTATTGTCATCAAAGATGCTGATGACACGATATAACTCTGTCACAATCTCTCGTTTCGAAAATTTTTGAGCATAATTCTTTCGTTTACTTGTATCATTATATCATTTATTTATGTATATTTAAAATATCGCTTCAATTATGTTTTATGCATGTTTTAAAATTTGTATCGATTTAATATACGCACGTACAATTAATTATATTATTATAATGGTTTTAATTAAAAATTATCTATATTTTATATGGATAAAAGTTCATATATATCCGATGTTTTAGATCAAAAGAATTTGAAAATTATTATTTTATACAAGATATATTTTTTTTATTGAAGAAAAAGATTTTATATTTTTCAATATATGGAATTATCACGAAAATTAAATCTTTGTCTCGTCTTTAACAAATCCTTGGATCAGGTCTTCGCCCTTCTCTTAAAAATATAAATAGCACGGACGAGCTAAGTCGATCTGTGTGCTATTCTATCAACTTCATATATGTTCATATAGTGGTCACTAGTTTATTATTATCTGATTTTTTTTTAATTCTATTTACAAATTGTAACAATGAATTTATGAAATGGATATTGTTATTTGTTTAAAATTTTTTTCCACCTGAATACGCTGAATGCATATATATTTGATCAAAGAAACGGCAATAATTGACACTTATGATTGAAACAGGTTAGAACAACAGCTTCCTATCGACCTCGTTCGTTCTCTTTTTGCGAGATCAATCAGGAATGATGTCAGCAATTTTCGAAGAAACTGTTTGACCCTGTTAAACAACAAAAGCTTTTATACACGTTTACATGCTCATAAAAATTGCATTCTTCATTCATTAGTTATATTTCATCGAAATATACCTATGTATCGAAAATATGAATATTAATAATTTATTATGTTTAATTAATTGCGAAAAATGTGATTGTATTATGGATACAAATTATCAAAGATTATAAAGATTATGTCGCAAGAACGGTCTATAAAAATAATTGGAGCGATTCATTTAACATTCGTACAGAAAATCTATCTCGTGAAGAGCGAGAAGAAAAGAAGAAAGAAAAAAAAGAAGAAAGAAAGAAAAAAGAGTTTAAATAAATATAAAAATAATTGGAAAATTTATAAATAAAAAAAAAAATTTGTTGAAAGTATAGATAAGAGTGGAAATATACAAGGAAATGAATGCAAATCGAGAAAGGCGATAGAAAGGAATGTCTAAGATTCTAAGATACCACACGAGGGGTAAATGCTCGAACGAAGAAAGCCATGATTCTATCTATATTTAACTGTATCTTCGACTGCCGTTTTTAAGTAGAATATGCCTACAAAGCATCAACGTAGGGCAAAATTTCATCAAAACTGACCCTTTCTTGAAAAAAATCCGATTGGACGTTATTTTTTTTATTTTTTCAAATATTAAAAATATTCAAAAAAGCCTATATTTATTTAATTAATTTCAATCGTTATGTTTATTAGAAATTGATATTATTATAATTAACAAAACAGTTTCGTTTAATTTTATTATTTACATCATGTATGGATTTTCCACGTTTCCACGGATGTTGCAATACAGGATATGAATATTATAAATAAATAAGTATAAACAATTTAATATATAATAATTATAATGATTAAATAGACTAATATATGCTTCTACTTATATACTAAACTAAAAAAAAAATGTGCATAGTTCGTCACGCATTAGAAGACACGACCCCCGACGCACGGCTTCTCTTGTATCATCGTCAGGGCTTCCGATCAATTTGACATAGAGAATTTGCTGGTTCTGTGGTTCAACTTGACAAGTTAAGCGATTCGAAAGAATTATAGTTATATAGTTATCGCGTGCATAATTGGATTTAAAGATTAATTTTAATTATTCTTGGTATAAATTTTTTTCATTCTTTAGAACATGAAAAATATTTTTCACGAATAATTATTCGTTATTTTTTAATTCTACATCGAATCGAGAGATTTTCAATGTACTCGTTTTACTTCGTTTGATTAAATTCACTTTTTTTTTTCTTTTAAATATTAAATGCACCGTTTTAAATGGAATGGACAACTGTTTGTCAATATTCGTGTTTATAATTCAACTATGTTTTAATTTGTACTTTTTTATTATTGGACTAATTTTCTTGACAATTATTGTTTGTCAAATATTGTTCACGTTTATCAAAGAAGAAATTATTAAATTAATTCGTTACGATTATTTCACACGATATGATTTTTTGACCGATTCAATCGTTTCATATATTTCTGTATTTTTATCACACGTTTTGAACAACTTTCAAATTCACATAAATTAATCGATTCACTATGGTGTGCACAAATAGTGCACAAACAGCTTATTCGTATTATGAATCAATCGATCATTTATCAAATCAATTGTTTTACCAATTTCTATAATTTTATATACACAATAAAATCATCGATTCTTTTATTTTTAACATTCTTTTAATTTTGTCAATAATCGTTATATTTTATATAACATGAAATGTAACGAATTCATATCATATAGGTATGTTGTTTATATTGTAATTGGATTAAAAAATTTTGAATTATCATTCGATAAAATAATTATTGAATTAATTAAAAAAGTGAATCAATTAAATTAAGCGTAATCTTTTGTTAAATACTTGAGAATGATTTATCTTTTTCTCCACTTCATATTCGAGTATATATTATTACCACACACACACGTGAGAAAATTTTAAATTCTTGAAATAATTTTCATAAATTTAATTTATAAAAATATACTGTAACATATATCGATATATCGCAATATTATGTAATACACATAAAGCATACACGAACGATTTACGATATTAGAAAAAAATATTGTCATTAAAAGTTAGGTTATACTTTAATTTCTGACATAAATTTGTACATATATACATATATATGGGACAGACATTGTATTATTTATTCATTCGATGATTACTTATTTATTATTATTTATATACGTACATATATGTTCTGCTTTCGAAGCAGCTGGTAGTTGGAAGAAGCTTTTCACGTAGAAAAGATAAAACAACAGTAACGGAGATGGCAATAGAGAGTGGGTGCAGGATGTGCGATCGATTGCCGGCTACCGCCGAACCACGTGACGGGGTGCGGTATTCGTGACGTCATGCAACTTCTGTTTTATTCGCGGTATCGACATATTAGTATCTTTTTCTTTTTCCTTTAGAAACGATTATTCAATGAACGCTCTGATTCGTTTAATCCCATTTCATAGATCAATCTCTCAGGTTCTATTCTTTGAACGAATATAGAGTTCGTGGGCGGAAAAAGGTGAAACGGAATATCTTATCGCCGATTTCGCTTATTATGCACCGACGAAACAGCCGACCGAAAAGATATATATATATATATAGGAACACGTGCAAATGAAAATGAAGAAAGTTTTATTATCGTATGTTGCGATAGATCGAATTTGTATACGATTGGGCGTTACGATTTTATTACTATTACATTCGTATGATTAAAATTTATGGGTACGAATAGAAGATGATATTCTTGATTTCTTAACCTTCACCTTACGTGAATTCAGCCCTGAACTATCCTCACTTTACGAAGCCAAACTAATGCCGGAGACTTAGGTAGTTATATGTCATTATAATCGTAGTATTTCGATCATTTACCTTTTAGGTTATGATAAATACGATCAAAATAATATTAAACAATATTATTTCTAACGGTATTAATAATAAAAATAACGAGAAAAATATATTAATCATATTAACGTGATTGGGAGGAACGTTGATTGAATCTTTGACAACGTTATTTCTCCCTTCTCCTAAAAGCTGTTTGAATCAGCTTTAGAAGGGAGCCCATAAATATCGATTAATCACGCACAACGTTTCCTTTTAATTTTGCGTTTCAGGTTTCCTGTCATGGGATAAGGATAGCTGTCATGTAGATTTAGAAAAAGAATTATTGGCATTGGTGGCACAAGCTCCCGAGGGAGAAGAAGCTAGAAATGGTATTTGAAACGAATTAATTCCCCAGAATAAGAGATTTGAATTTTCGTTTTCTATTTCGTTATAAAAATTCGTTATGAAAAAATATATAAAAAAATTTTGCAAGCTCGTTTCGAAATGGGTGAAAATTTAATTTTCAGGCGAACGACTGATTCAATACGCTACAGAAAACCTCGTTACCGAGGTTTTGATTCACCCGCAAACGAACACATTATTGCAATGTATTCGTAATCTTCTCGCAAGTTTCACGAAACACCGGCATATCATACACGCTGGCTATACCTTCGGTGGAAATGGTTCCTGGATACTGCAAGTACGTGTCTCGATTATACGCATCGCGTAGAATTCGCATGGAAATCACACGTGGAAAATTACATGCAAAAATTACGATTTACTCGTATCTAATTCCATGTGATTTCATTATTTTGAGATCACCGATATGCTTCGTGTTTTCCCATTTTTCCTGACTGAAATTAACGCATATATTCGCATCGCAAATGCTGCTTAATCCAGGATGGAACCTTTAGCCTCGCCGATTTTCTGGACGCCTTCAGCGAGCACGAAGTGCAAAGAGTTCTTCGAGCGTATGAGAACAGCGTGACGGTAGACATTCATTGCGCGAGCGTTGGCGATTGGACGACGAACAGATTGTCCAAAGAGGCTTGCACCAGGTTTGTACAACTCCTCCTCCTCATCTTTGATTTTGAATTTTCTCAAGCAGAAATAAAATAGATTGTAATTTTTTTAATAAAATTTTCGTATGAATTTTCGCGACCATCCATAGAGCGTGCAGAGTCCGAGTAAATCCCGACGACGTTCTTACCGCTGGCTTGTCAGCAATTACCAGTTTCACAAATTACGTTGGACAATATCTCGTTGCCCAAACGTTGGACCAATTGATGGAACCGTCCGATGTTGTAGGCAACATAAGATTTAGTCATCCAACATTATACGTCTTCCCCGGTGGCCAAGGTGATGCCGCCCTCTTTGGCATAAACGGTTTTAACATGTTGGTCGACGGTGGTTTCGCCAGAAAAGCCTGTTTTTGGGACTTTACCAGGCATCTGGACCGACTCGACGCGGTCTTACTTACTAGAATAAATAATAGCAATGTCGGAGGCATGTCGAGTGTTCTTTGTAAAAAGAAGGAGATGCACGTTTATCCTCAGATCGGACACTTTTTCTGTAATCTAGTCGTAAGTAAACAATTCACGTAATTAATTTCCCTTTTTTTTTTTCTTTTTTAATCTATCGATATAATACTTAACATAAATTTTTTCTCGAAGATATATAAATTTTGAAGAAATAGAGAATTACGAAAATTTCTTGTTATTGTTCTTTAACACGATCTTTAACACTTTTTTAATCTCGCAATCGATATAACACTTAACATAAATTTTCTCTCGAAAATATATAAATTTTAAAGAAATGGAGAATTACGAAAAATTTCTTATTATTGTTCTTTAATACGATCTTTAATACTTTTTTAATCTCACAATCGATATAACATTTAACATAAATTTTCTCTCGAAGATATATAAATTTTGAAGAAATGGGGAATTACGAAAATTTCTTGTTATTGTTCTTTAACACTTTTTTAATCTCACAATCGATATAACACTTAACATAAATTTTCTCTCGAAGATATATAAATTTTGAAGAAATGGAGAATTACGAAAATTTCTTGTTATTGTTCTTTAACATATCGATTTTTTTTTATCTTGTAATAAATCGATAATTTCAGGTAATAATAATAACAGCATAACATTAAGAAATTGAGATCGTTATAGGAGATCAATATCCAATAAATTCTATTTTTATTATTACATTATTTATTATTAAATTATTATATAACTATTATTATTTCTAAACTGTTGATGTTGCACTGCCTCACGTAACAGGAGAGAAGACAATCCAATTCACCGGATGGGAACAAAGATATCGATCCTCTGATCCTGAATCTAACCGACATTGGCCAAGAGATGGTCGTTAATCTACGTCACATCAACTTGCGAGCGCATCCGTGCTACAGGGATCCGGACCCGATCAATCTTTACCACAAAGTGGGCCACGGCACGTTGGACATGTACGTGCTAAGCCCGAACAAGGACAGCCGCGAAGTGAGGGAATTTCTTGCCAAATGGCACACCTCGGACTCGAAATTATTCTCCGGCTCCCACAAAAAAGACTCGAACAATTTAACGTTCCCGATTCAGAATCTGGTCTCGATATGCGCAATGCTCGTTTGGCAACCTGCCAATCCCGAGGACACTATCACGAGAATCCTGTTCCCCGGCAGTACCCCCCAGCTCAAGATTTTCGAAGGGTTCGAACGATTGAAGCATCTCGAGTTCCTCAAGCATCCCGTATGCTCGGCGAAAAGCCTTTCCCCGTCCGCCTCGTTGGCGACCTTGCGTGACAAACCGGCCAAGCAAAAGTTCAGCCTCATAACCGACAAAGAGCCGGCGAAGAAGATAGGGGAGGCGAAGAAGGAGAAGAAGGAGTCGCCGGAGATGAAAGTGATAAAAGGCGGGGAGGATTTGCCAGCCCGCGTAGCGCAGGGCACACCCATCATACCCACTAAACAACAGCAACCGGTCAAACCCGAGGCGAAGACCAAGAAAGCGTTGGAGAACAAGAAGATAGAGGTGGAGATAAAGGACGTGAAGGAGAGGAAGGAGCAAAAGGCGGAGAAGGAGGCGAAGAAGGAGATTATAAAGAAGGAGATTGGAAAAATAGAGAAGCTCGAGAAAGAGGAAAAACGGGAGGAAGAGGTTCAGAGGAAGCCTATCGAGACTAGGCAGGAGGCTGAGAAGATAATCGCGCCCCCCGCGATTAAGGAGGCGAAACCGAGGAAGAAAGAGGCGAAGGGCGCGAAGCCCGCGAAAATAGACTCGACGCCAAAACCGAGGATCACCGAGTCGAAGAAAGCGAAACAATCCCCCGTGGAGAAGAAGGAAACGGGCGTGATCAAATCGTCGCCGACCACCCCCAAGAAGACCATGAACGGGGTAGCGACTAAAACGGAAATATCGAAGGCGGTGAAAAAGATGCCGCCTGTTCACAAGATCGAGATCGCCCCCCCGGCGAAAAGCACGAAGGACGCGAACAACAGGAAAGTGGTGGAGCAGAAGAAGTCTGCGATAAAGGAAACGGGTGTAACAGCCGCGGTCAAAGTGACGGCGAAACCGAAGCCAATGGACAGAAAGCCGATAGGGCGAAGGAAGCCTGTCAGCCCGAGCAAAGTACGGGTGTCAGGCAGCCCCGCGAAATCGACTCGAAGCACGCCAACGACTTCCGTCAAATCCGATAAGGATGGCGTCGTTGCTCGCAAGGCGAAGGGGGAGAAGGGGACCGCCGACTCGTCCACGGTATCCACGCCGTCAGGGATCGAGGCCGAGGCGGGTGGCAGGCTGGCCGAGAAGAGCTTGATGGAACAATCGGAGGACATTTCGTTGGACTCGATCGAGAGCAAGGTGTTGGCCGATCTGAAAGAGGAACGGGAGGTCGTGGAGGAGATCGAGGCCGTCCTCCAGAAGGCGGAACGTATCGAGGAGACGAGGAAAGATGATCGTTCCGAGGGGGATGATGAGATCACGGCCGAGCTTACCGACAAGAAGGAGGAGGATATCACGGATGATGACATAATTGAGCCCGATATGGAGGAAGCATTGAAGAGGGAGATGATCGACGAATATTTGATCGTCGAGAAGGAGGAGGATTATATCGAGGACTCTACCCAGAGCGGGGAGGGTGAGCAGAAACATATCCTGGACGAGGCTGAGTCGGAGAAGGCGAAGATGCTGAAGGATATGGAACAGGTGAAGGAGAAGGGGGAGGAGGAGGAGGTCGAGGAAAAGGAGAGGGACGAGAGCGTGGTGGTGGAGAAGCGGGAGAAAGAGGGGGAGGAGAAAGTGGTGGAGACGTTGAGGATCGAGGAGGAGGGGGCGGAGCCTATCGATCTGTCGCCGGATCGAAGGGAGCAATTGGAGGAGGAGGTGAAGGATATAATCGCTACCGCGGCGGAAACGATACAGCAGAAGCCTGAGGAGAAGGACGATTCTGGGAAGAAGGATAGCGAGGACGTCACGAAGGAGCCGTCCAGTTTGAGCCCGGACAAATTGGACTCGTCCGAGAAGAAAACCACCGATACCGACATGAAGCCTGAGGTTGACCAAAAGGAACAAATCCCCGAAAAATTGGAAGAATCGCAAGAACGTATTTCTACGTTGGAATCTGGCGCCACAACGACAGCCCCAACGCTTCCCGAGGACGAGCGTATACCGCTCGATGAGATAAAAGAAGATATCGACGAGAAACACATCATCGAGGAAGTGAAGGAGAAAGACGTGATACCGAAGGTTAAGGAAGAAGAGGTCGCTGCTGCTGCTTCGCGAATTGTACCTCTCACGGTAACCACTAAGCCGGACGTTCACGTGTTCGACATCCGGCAAGCTGTGCAACGAGATATCGTGAAAACTCCGGACGAGGTTGCCGATCTGCCTGTCCACGAGGAGGTGGATCCCAAGTTGTACAGAATAGAAGACTTTGAGAAGGACAAAGAGGAAAAGCTGACATTGCCACAGCCGCAGGCGCAACAAGAACAGAAGCCTGAACAGAAACCGGAACAAGAACCGCCCACTCCGCCGGTTAAGGAGCAAAAAGGTGTTTTCAGTTTCTTCGGCAAGGTTGCCGATAAATTTGAGAAGGGTATCGATAAATTGACTAAAAAATCGAAGAAGGAGCAAGAGAAAGATGTTGACGAAAAATCTTCATCCAAGTCAAGCTCTCCTAAAGAAGCTAAGGTAGAGAAAACTGTTCTTGAAGAGGTAGATATGGAGAAAATGTTCCCCAAAGTAGGCAAACCTAGTGAAAAAGCTCAAGAAGTTACGGTAACTGAAGTAGAACGGAAGGATAGCGATGCAAAGATCTCACCGGCTGTTGAAGAAATTGTCGCGAAGGAACGAGTCGTCGAGGATGTTTCCATACCAGAACCGGAGGAAGCAAAGCCCGAGATTAAGGAGAAACCGAGTGAAATTGAAGAGAAGGAGGAAGAAGTCGCTGCGCCTAAACCTGTCGATGAAAAAATTGTGATAAAAGAAGACGTGAAAGTGAGTGAAGTTCAGCCGAAAGAAGTCGCGTTGGACGAGAGGAAAGAGGAAATAACAGAGATCGATACCAAGATTAGGAAGGAAGAGGAGGTTGGAGAAGAAGTCGAGGAAGACGCGGAAGAGATAAAAGCCTTGCTGGAAGAAGCTTCGAAGAAATTTAAGACGGTGAAGGATAGCCTGAGAGACTCGTTGGAGTCGTTAGAAGAAAAGATCGAAGAAGAAACTGTCGACCTAACGCGAGAAGTACCACTGGTGAAAGATGTCGTTAAAGACACGTTGGAAGGTGTAGTGGAAAAATTGGAAGCGATAAAACCACAGATCGAAAGCATATCGCCCGAAACTAAAGAACCGGAGAAAGTAAAATTCGAAATACCAAAAGAGGAAGATTGGGAACCAGTGCCTACTAAAGACGTTAAAGAGGCTGTTCGAGATGTTGGCGAAGTCCTCGCTGGTACAGCTGGAATAGATATCGAGGAAAAACCAAAAGATGTCATTGAAATCGTGCGTAAAGTTGCTCAAGTTTTAAAAGAAGACGATTTATTTTCGGAAAAAACGTTATTCGAAGAACCGATCAAAAAAGAAGAAGTATCACCTACTGCCGCTAAAACTAAATCACCAGTTTCTGAAGGCGAAGGCGTCGAATCGCCTGAAAAATTAACCACAATCGAAGATAAAATTGCTGTAATACCGACGAAAGTCGGTATCACGGAAGAGATTTCTTATCAGGAGGAAGCCGAAGAGCTCGTTGAAGTGCACGAGGAGCCTTGCGTGAAAATGGTTAAGAAAATCGAGGAGATTACGTCTCCGGAAAAGAAACCGGAGGATAAACGTGACGTTAAAGAAATTTGCGAAGAGATGTTAAAAGAGGATGAAAAACCGATAAAGGAGCCGGTTGTTTCAGATAAGGAAGTTGTTTCTCCGAAAGTGGATGTAATGGAAGCTGGATTAGAGGACGTATACGTGAAAGAAACCGCGAGAAAATCGATCGATGAAGCACAAATTGGAACAGGGGTAGAAGAGTCGGTGATAGGTTTCGATCAAAAGATTTCTCCCGCGAAGGCGGAGATCGTGATGGTCTCTCCAGGTTCGACGCCAACATCGCCCAAATTCGTAACGGATAAAGAGCGTGAGGCCAAAGTGGACGCGAGTGAAGAAATTGCTACCTCAATTGAATTGCCGTCCGAAGTTAGAGCGATCATCGATAAAGTTGATCGCATGATAGAAGAGATAATCGAAGAGCTTGTATTGAAGAAGAAGAGAATTACGATCGAGATTGTAGAATATATAACAATCGTGAAACGTGTTCCAAAAGAGCGTGTGATTTATATTATCGAAGAGATTATCATACGGAAAGGACTTTCGAAGGAGGATGTTGTCGATAACGTTGATATCTTAAAACTCGAATCGATTACTCCACGATTGCAAATGGAACTCGAGGAATATATCATTAGTGAATATATGAAAAAAGGGAAGTGTATAACCATTGAAATCGTGGAGGAAATTTCTGTGAGAAAAACTGTACCGAAAACGATTATCATTCGTATTATTCAGGAAATTATCATTCAAAAATTAATCGATGTTCCTACTAAAGGTCTGTTTGATTCGCAGGTAGAACAGATTATTCTTAAACAAAAGAAAGAAGAAGAAAAGGAAGAAATAGAAAAAGTGGAAAAGAAAGAGATCGAAAAGGAAAAAGAAAAGGAAGAAAAAGAAAAAGAAATTACAGAAATCACAAAAGAAGCAGAGGAAGTACTATCGCCAATCGATAAAGTATCTGTCGCGAAATTAGAGAAGGAAAAAGAAGAGAAAGCACTCAAAGCAGAACTCGACTTGAAGAAAAAGGAAGAGGTCGAGGAAGAAGAGGAGGAAGAAGAAGAAGTAGAAGAAGATGGTTTTGTTAGTATCGGTAAAAAAATTTCGAAAGAAGAGATACAAATTAAAGAACAAATAATTCCAAAAGAAAAAGACATTACCGATGATTTTGAAGCTGTTGAACAAGAATATAAAGTAGGTGAAGTAACGGTTACTTCGCTAGAAGACACATCGCGGATTATTTCGCCAAAATCGGATGAATCGAGGGAACGAGAATACGCTGAAGAAGCTGTCGAAGACGTAATAAGCGAAGTTATTGAGGCTGATGAAAAGTTTGTTCATGAGACGAAAGAGAAAATAGAGAAAAAAGAATTAGACATAGATGTTGACAAAGTACAATTTGTTAAATTGGATAAAGAAGAAATGGAAAAGAAAGAAGCTAAAGAATTGACTAAGACGATAGAAATAGCAAAAGAAATGGAACCTCTCGATACAACAGAAAAATATTTAGACGAAGCTAAAGAGAAAAAGGAAGAAAAAATTATTGACAAAACAATAGCAAAAAAATTAATCGAAGAAACACCGAAAGTAACTACACTTCAAATTGAAAAAGAAGAAAGAAAACCTCAACAAGAGAAAGAATTAAAAATAGAAGAGAAAAAAGAAGAAAAGAAACCCGAAAAGGAAGAAAAAGAATTAAAGATTGAGGACAAAAAAGAAGAAAAGGAACCAGCAAAAGAAGAGAAAGACTTAAAGCTGGAGGAGAAGAAAGAAGAAAAGGAAACAGCAATAGAAGAAAAAGAATTAAAGATTGAAGATAAGAAAAAAGAAAAGGAACTTACATTAGAAGAAAAAGAATTAAAAGTGGAGGAAAAGAAAGAAGAAAAGAAACCCATAGAAGAAGAAAAGGAATTAAAAGTAGAAGAAAAGAAAGAAGAAAGGAAACCTGAAGAAGAAAAAAAAGAATTAAAAGTTGAAGACAAGAAAGAAGAAAAGAAACCCGAAGAAAAAGAAAAAGAAATAAAAGTTGAGGAGAAGAAAGAAGAAAAGAAAGCTGCAGTAGAAGAAAAAGAATTAAAGATTGAGGAGAAAAAAGAAGAAAAGAAACCCGAAGAGAAAGAAAAAGAAATAAAAGTTGAGGAGAAGAAAGAAGAAAAGGAAGCTGTAGTAGAAGAAAAAGAATTAAAGATTGAAGAGAAAAAAGAAGAAAAAAAACCTGTAGAAGAAGAAAAGGAATTAAAAGTGGATGAGGAGAAAGAAGAAAAGAAACTCGCAGAGGAAGAAAAGGAATTAAAGGTGGAAGAAAAAAAAGAAGAAAAGAAACCTGAAGAGGAAAAAACAGAATTAAAAATTGAAGAGAGGAAAGAAGAAAAGAAACCCGAAGAGAAAGAAAAAGAAATAAAAATTGAGGAGAAGAAAGAAGAAAAGGAAGCTGTAATAGAAGAAAAAGAATTAAAGATTGAAGAGAAAAAAGAAGAAAAGAAACCTGTAGAAGAAGAAAAAGAATTAATGATTGAGGAGAAAAAAGAAGAAAAAAAACCTGCAGTAGAAGAAAAGGAATTAAAGATGGATGAGAAGAAAGAAGAAAAAAAACCTGCAGTAGAAGAAAAAGAATTAAAGGTGGATGAGAAGAAAGAAGAAAAGAAACCTGAAGAGGAAAAAAAAGAATTAAAGATTGAAGAAAAGAAAGAAGAAAAGAAACCCGTAGAGGAAGAAAAAGAATTAAAAATTGAAGAGAAGAAAGAAGAAAAGAAACCCGTGGAGGAAGAAAAAGAATTAAAAGTCGAAGAGAAAAAAGAAGAAAAAAAACCTGAAGAAAAAGAAAAAGAAATAAAGGTGGAAGAAAAGAAAGAAGAAAAGAAACCTGAAGAGGAAGGAAAAGAATTAAAGGATGAGAAGGAAAAAGAAGAAACGAAACCTATTGCGGAAGAAAAAGAAGTAAAGATTGAGGAAAAGAAAGAAGAAAAGGAACCAGTAAAAGAAGAGAAAGAAATAAAAATTGAGAAGAAAGAAGAAAAGAAACCCGCAGAGGAAGAAAAAGAAGTAAAGATTGAGGAGAAGAAAGAAGAAAAGGAACCAGTAAAAGAAGACGAAGAAATAAAGATTGAGGAGAAGAAGGAAGAAAAGAAACCCGCAGAGGAGGAAAAAGAAATAAAGATTGAGGAGAAGAAAGAAGAAATAAAATTAGTAGAATCGTTACCTGAGTTAAAATCTACCGTCGAGGAAGAAAAACTTGATAAAGACGAAAAAGTTAAAACTCCAGAGATAGTAAAAGAAGAGAAACCAGAAGATAAGAAGGAGATAATTAAGGAGAAATCTCCAGAGAAAATAGTTGAAACCGAAATTGAATCAATTAAAGATATCATCGATCGTAAATCAAGTATCGAGGAATTAGCTAAAGTAGAAAAAATATCTCCGAAATTGGAAAAAATTGAAGATGAAAAACAAATTGTTCCAGAAGATTTATCCTTAGTTAAGGAACGAAAACAAGAACAGGAACGTATCGATTCTAGTATAGAAGCACAGGTAGAAGAAATAAAGGAGAAGAAACCAGAAATCGGAGAAGACATTGGATCTGTTCGGCGAATGTTGGTCACAGCGAGTAGCGAAGACGGTGGACAGGAAACGGAAATTTGTGCAGCCGGTACTATCGCATTTCAAAAAGTTATTACACCCGAAGATTCTCTTAAAGATACATCTATCAAGACAACACCTGATAAAGATTCTTTGCTTTTAGATAAAGACTCTCTGCATTCGGAAATAAGTAGCCCAGAAAAGGACAGTATTTCCGAAAAGTCATTGCCAAAAGATATTGGAAAAATAACGCCCGAAGACAGTTTGGATAAATCTCCAATCGATACACGTGATTCGCGCGATCTCGAGGATAGTTTGGAGAAAGGTAAACCGAGGGAGGCGGATAGTAGCACTTCTCCATCTGTTATGGACACAGAAACTCCCAAATCTCCATTACAACAGAAACAAATTGAGGATTTGGCTAAAGTAAAACCTGACATTACTGAGAAAGAAGAATTGCATGAAAAAATTGTTGAAGATCATTTACAAAAGTCCAAAGAAGAAACTGATAAGAAAATGCTTGAAATAAGTGCATTAAAATCATCCGAATCGATTCGATCGGAGGACGTTTCACCGGCAGAAACCATTTTTGCGAAATCACCCACGGAAAAATTAAAAGAACCGAGCAAAATTCCAATCGATACAAAAGAGGTAGAACCGGCAAAATTAATTTTAGAAACAGAAACCATAACAAAGCGAGTTGAAGAAATTAGCCAAGAGATTCGTGAAATCGAAGTGAAAAAAGATGAAAAAGAAGAAGTGTGTGTATCGCGTGAAAAGAGTGAATCACCAAAAGAGGAAACAATTATCGAACCTGCCAAAATAGAGGAAAAAGAATTAATCACAGATCACAAATTAGAAATCTCTACTGATCAAGATAAAATAGAAAAGAAAGATGATTTGCAGGAGATAAGCGAGGTTAAAATAAAAGAAGAGAAACTGAAAGATTTAGAAGCAAAAATTCCTGATGAATCAAAAATAATTGAGGATAAAATATCCTCTGATATTAAACAGACTGATATTATTGATAAGGATAAGCTTCCAATTGTAGATGTTGATAAATCTAAAGTGGAAATACATACATTAACAAAATTAGATACTACAACAATTGTAACTGATAAAGAGCTAAGTATTAGTGATGAAAAGATCAAAGAACCAATCGATACATTAAAATCAACTTTTGTTACAGATACTACATCAACTACAGAAAAACCAAAATCTCCCATTATAACAGAAAAGATTCAAGAACTTGATATCACGGACAAAGAAATAGTTTCTCCCAAAGAAGAAGAAATGAAAATGAAGGAGAAAGTAGATATAGAAAAGCACGTTATTGAAAAAATTGAGAAAGTCAAAGAAGAAACGAAGGCCGAAAGTATACCAATAGAAACAAAGACAGTGATCGATGTATCGAAACGAGCTAGTATTACAAGTGAAATTCATGTTGTAACAGAGGCTGAAACTAAGGTAATCGACAAATCTAAATCACCAAGTGAAATAGATGAAACAGAAGTTAAAACAAGATCGCCCAGCATTGCTGGTGATATCGAAGATTCGAAAGAAGTAGAAGCAACAAGTATTGATAAATCTAGAACACCTAGTGTAACAAGTGTTACAGCAGAGTCAAAGGAGGTATCCGAAAAATCAAAATCGCCCAGTATTGCTGAAGATGAACCCGATTTAAAAGATATAGAGACAAAAGAAATTGAAAAATCAAGATCTCCTAGTGTAACAAGTATTCCTACAGAAGAAAAGAAAACAATGGATAAATCAAAAACACCTAGTCCTGAAGAAGAGCCAGATTTAAAAGACATTGAAAAATCTAGAATACCAAGTGTAATTAGTGTTCCAGCAGAAGTTAAAGAAACAATAGAAAAGTCACCTAGCGTTTCTGGTGAAGAACCAGAATTAAAGGATGTTGATACAAAAGAGGTTGAAAAATCTAGATCTCCTAGTGTAACAGCAGAAATAAAAGACGTTGATATGAAAGAAATAGAAAAGTCTAGATCTCCAAGCGTAACAAGCACTACAACAGAAGTAAAAGAACCATCAGATAAATCAAAATCACCCAGTATTGCTGGTGAAATTGTTGATTTGAAAGATGTTGATAAAAAAGAAATTGAAAAGTCAAGATCTCCCAGCGTAACAAGTATCACAGCAGAAGAGAAAGAGCCATCAGATAAATCAAAGTCTCCCAGTGTTGCTGGAGAAAAGCCAGAATTAAAGGATGTCGAGATAAAAGATAAAGAAAAATCTAGATCTCCAAGTGTAACGAGTGTTACTGGAGAGCCAAAAGAGTTATCAGATAAATCAAAGTCGCCCAGTGTTGCTGGTGAAGAGCCAGAATTAAAAGATGTCGAGATAAAAGACGTAGAAAAATCCAGATCTCCAAGTGTAACAGCAGAAATAAAAGACGTCGACATAAAAGAAATAGAAAAGTCCAGATCTCCCAGCGTAACAAGCACTACAGCAGAAGTAAAAGAACCATCAGATAAATCAAAGTCACCCAGTATTGCTGGTGAAATTGTTGATTTGAAAGATGTTGATAAAAAAGAAATTGAAAAATCAAGATCCCCCAGTGTAACAAGTGTCACAGCAGAAGAAAAAGAGCCATCAGATAAATCAAAGTCTCCCAGTGTTACTGGAGAAAAGCCAGAATTAAAGGATGTCGAAATAAAAGACATAGAAAAATCTAGATCTCCAAGTGTAACAAGTGTTATTACAGAACCGAAAGAACCATCAGATAAATCAAAGTCGCCCAGTGTTGCTGGTGAAGAGCCAGAATTAAAAGATGTTGAGCTAAAAGACGTAGAAAAATCCAGATCTCCAAGTGTAGCAAGTGTTACTATGGAATCGAAAGAACAATCAGATAAATCAAAATCTCCCAGTGTTGCTGATGAAAAGCCAGAATTAAAAGATGTTGAGATAAAAGACGTAGAAAAATCCAGATCTCCAAGTGTAACGAGTGTTATTGCGGAACCAAAAGAACCATCAGATAAATCAAAGTCTCCCAGTGTTGCTGATGAAAAGCCAGAATTGAAGGATGTTGAGATAAAAGATATAGAAAAATCCAGATCTCCAAGTGTAACGAGTGTTACTGCGGAACCAAAAGAATCATCGGATAAATCAAAGTCGCCCAGTGTTGCTGGTGAAGAACCACAATTAAAGGATGTTGAGATAAAAGATAAAGAAAAATCCAGATCTCCAAGTGTAACAAGTGTTACTATCGAATCAAAAGAACCATCAGATAAATCAAAATCGCCCAGTGTTGCTGGTGAAGAACCAGAATTAAAAGATGTTGAGGTAAAAGACGTAGAAAAATCCAGATCTCCAAGTATTATTGCAGAACTAAAGGAACCATCAGATAAGTCAAAATCACCTAGTGTTGCTAGCGAAGTTGCTGAATTGAAAGATGTTGATATAAAAGAAATCGAAAAATCGAGGACTCCTAGCATCACAAGTGCACCAACAGAAGTTAAGGAACTATCAGATAAATCAAAATCGCCGAGTGTTACTGGTGAAGAATCAGAATTAAAGGATGTTGATACGAAGGAGATTGAAAAATCCAGATCTCCAAGTGTAACGAGTGTCACAACAGAAACAAAAGAACCAATGGATAAATCAAAGTCTCCCAGTGTTGCAGGTGAAATTGCTGAAATGAAAGACGTTGATACAAAGGAAATTGAAAAATCTAGATCTCCCAGTGTAACAAGTGTCACTGCAGAAACAAAAGAACCATCAGATAAATCAAAGTCTCCCAGTGTTACTGATGAAGTTGCTGAATTGAAAGATGTTGATACAAAAGAGATTGAAAAATCCAGATCTCCAAGTGTAACGAGTGTCACTGCAGAAACAAAAGAACCATCAGATAAATCAAAATCGCCTAGTATTGCTGGTGAAGTTATTGATCTGAAAGATGTCGATAAAAAAGAATTTGAAAAGTCAAGATCTCCTAGTACAACAAGTATTACAACAGAAGTGAAAGAACTATCAGATAAATCAAAGTCTCCCAGTGTTACTGATGAAGTTGCTGAATTGAAAGATGTAGATACAAAAGAGATTGAAAAGTCGAGGTCTCCCAGTGTAACAAGTGTCACAGCAGAAACAAAAGAACCAATGGATAAATCAAAATCTCCCAGTGTTACTGATGAAGTTGCTGAATTGAAAGATGTTGATACAAAGGAGATTGAAAAATCCAGGTCTCCAAGTGTAACGAGTGTCACAGCAGAAACAAAAGAACCAACGGATAAATCAAAGTCGCCTAGTATTTCTGGCGAAGTTGCTGAATTGAAAGACGTTGATACAAAAGAGATTGAAAAGTCGAGGTCACCCAGTGTAACAAGTGTCACAGCAGAAACAAAAGAACCAATGGATAAATCAAAATCTCCCAGTGTTACTGATGAAGTTGCTGAATTGAAAGATGTTGATACAAAGGAGATTGAAAAATCCAGGTCTCCAAGTATAACGAGTGTCACAGCAGAAACAAAAGAACCAACGGATAAATCAAAGTCTCCAAGTGTTACTGATGAAGTTGCTGAATTAAAAGATGTTGATACAAAGGAAATTGAAAAGTCGAGGTCTCCCAGCGTAACAAGCGTCACAGTAGAAACAAGAGAACCAACGGATAAATCAAAGTCTCCAAGTGTTACTGATGAAGTTGCTGAATTGAAAGATATTGATACAAAGGAGATTGAAAAATCTAGATCTCCCAGTGTAACAAGTATCACTGCAGAAACAAAAGAGCCATCAGATAAATCAAAGTCTCCCAGTGTTGCTGGTGAAAAACCAGAGTTAAAGGATGTTGAGACGAAAGAGATAGAAAAGTCAAGATCTCCCAGCGTAGCAAGTGTCACAACAGAAGTGAAAGAGCCATCGGATAAATCAAAATCTCCCAGTGCTGCTGGTGAAAAACCAGAGTTAAAGGATGTTGAGACGAAAGAGATAGAGAAGTCGAGGTCTCCCAGCGTAGCAAGTGTCACAACAGAAGTGAAAGAGCCATCGGATAAATCAAAGACACCCAGCGTTGCTGGTGAAGAGCCAGAGTTAAAGGATGTTGACTCGAAAGAGATAGAGAAGTCAAGATCTCCCAGCGTAGCAAGTGTCACAACAGAAGTGAAAGAGCCATCGGATAAATCAAAGTCACCGAGTGTTGCTGATGAAGAGCCAGAGTTAAAGGATATTGACTCGAAAGAAATGGAAAAGTCGAGGTCTCCCAGCGTAGCAAGTGTCACAACAGAAGTGAAAGAGCCATTGGATAAATCAAAGTCACCGAGTGTTACTGGTGAAGAGCCAGAATTAAAGGATGTTGATACAAAAGAGATTAAAAAATCGAGGTCTCCCAGCGCAACAAGTATTACAACCGAAGTGAAGGAATCATTAGATAAATCAAAGTCTGCCAGTATTACTGATGAAGTTGCTGAATTGAAAGATACAAAGGAAATTGAAAAGTCGAGGTCTCCGAGCGTAACGAGTGTCGCAGCAGAAGAAAAAGAGCCTTCAGATAAATCAAAGTCTCCCAGTGTTGCTGGTGAAAAGCCAGAGTTAAAGGATGTTGAGATGAAAGACGTAGAAAAATCCAGATCTCCAAGTGTAACGAGTGTTACTGCGGAAGTGAAAGAACCATCGGATAAATCAAAGTCACCCAGTGTTTCTAGTGATATTGCCGAATTAAAAGATGTCGATACAAAAGATATTGAAAAATCCAGATCTCCAAGTTTAACAACAGAAATCAAAGAAAAATCCGAAGATGTTGCAAAAGAGATTGAAAAATCGAGATCTCCCAGCGTGGCGAGTATCACAACAGAAGTGAAAGAACCATCAGATAAATCAAAGTCACCGAGTGTTGTTGGGGAAGAGCCAGAATTAAAGGATATTGATATGAAAGACGTAGATAAATCCAGATCTCCCAGTGTAACTAGTGTCACAGCAGAAATCAAAGAATCATCGGACAAATCAAAGACATCCAGCGTTGCTGGTGAAGAACCTGATTTTAAGGATGTAAAACGTATTGAAAAATCTCCAAGCACGGTGAGTGTTGCAAGTGAACAGAAAGAACCAGCCGATAAATCAAAATCGCCCAGTGTTGTTGGTGAAGAACTAGATTTAAAGGACGTTGATGTAAAAGATATTGAAAAATCTAGATCTTCGAGTGTCACTACAGAACCGAAAGAGGCCTTCGATAAATCAAAGTCGCCCAGTATTGCTGGTGATGTTACCGATTTGAAAGATGTCGATACAAGAGATATAGAAAAATCCAGATCTCCGAGCCTAACAAGCGAAATAACAGATCAGAAGGGGACAGAAATTAAATCAAAATCTCCTAGCGTCGCAGGAGAATCAATTGATTTGAAGGATGTTGATGTTGTGAAAGATGTTGAAAAATCTAGATCTCCGAGCGTGACAAGTAGTATAACAGAAACGAAACTGGCTGTGGATAAATCAAAATCGCCTAGTGTCGCCGGTGATGTTGTCGATATGAAAGATGTCGACGTTATGAAAGATATTGAGAAGTCTAGATCCCCTAGCGTGACAAGTATCACCGCAGAAACGAGAGAACCATCGGATAAATCAAAATCGCCTAGCATAACTGGAGATGCCCCTGATTTGAAGGACGTTGACGCAAAAGGTATCGAAAAATCGAGATCTCCAAGTGTCACAAGTGTTACGGAATCGAAAGAACCTTTAGAAAAATCGAAATCCCCTAGCATTGCTGGCGAAGCGCCCGATGATATCCCTACGAAAGAAAAATCTAAATCTCCCAGCGTATCTCCTAGCGCTCTAACAGAGACAAAAGATATATCGAAATCACCAAGTGTTGTCAGCGATACCGATTCGAAAGATATCGAAGGGAAGACTGTAGAAAAATCTAGGTCCCCTAGTGTAACCAGTGTCGTTACGGAACAAAAGGAGGTAGCGGATAAGAGACCTAGTATTGCTGTCGATTTAACCGATTTGAAAGATATTGAAAAATCGAGATCTCCAAGTGTAACTGGTATCACGACGGAACCAAAAGATGCAGCGGAGTCCAAATCGCCTAGCATTGCTGGTGATACACCGGCAGATCTGAAAGATATCGATAAATCTAGATCTCCCAGTGTAACAAGCGTAGTTACGGAAACAAGAGATGCATTAGATAAGTCGAAATCTCCCAGTGTTGCGAGTGACGTGAAGGATATCGAGAAATCCAAGTCCCCGAGTGAAACTAGTTTACCGACGGAGATCAAAGATGCATCGGTTAAAACGAAATCGCCCGATATCGCTGAGCACGATGTTGATTCGACTTCTGATTTAAAGAGATCGGTTGATGTATCGCCCACATCCATTTTGGATTTACGAATTAGCGACAGAAGGAAATGTTCGATTTCGTCGGACGTTCCCGATAAAAAGGAAATTTCGAAGTTCCCTGGTGACGAGATTAAAGATAAATCTGTGTCGCCTGTCGATAAAACAGACGCGATTGAAAAGTCTAAGGACATGGTGTGCACAGTACCATCGTCACGCGATGTAACGGGCAGGGAAGAGTCGTTCGTTTCTCGTAAATCAATATCACCGGAATTGGGTGAGAAAATCGACGATAAGGATAGAATATTGGGTGCCGATCGATTGAAAGACGAGCGGAAGGGGGATACAACGGCCGATAAGGAAGAAAATATCACAAGATATATCTTAGAGGAATATATAAATAAGGGAAGAAAAATTACAACGTACGTGATAGAAGAGATAATTAGAACTTATTCGGTGTCGGAGTTTATAGTGATGAATATCATCGAAACGATCATTATGACGAGAAAGATACGCAGAGATTCGATTTTAGAAATTGCCGAGCATAAAAGATCGGAGGACGAAGCGAAAATGGCGCGAGGCAAAGACGCGACAAAAGACACGAGCGAAGGTTCCATAAGCTCGAGCTTGAGTTCAGAGCTGATCGCTTCCGACAAATCCACCCAGGACAGCCCTGCGCGCTCCGATCCCCACATCGACGAGGAGGTATCGATCTCGGAAGAGAAGAGGGTCGAGATGGAGAGGTTTTTGGAGGAGGATTATATCAAACAGGGGAGGAGGATCACCGAAGAGATACTGGAAGAGATCACTGTAAGGACATCTCTGCCCCGATACATCATTCTAGAAATAATCGAGGAGATAATTTTGAAGAAGAAACTTGCCCGAGAATCCATAATTGACTCGGAGATCGACTATCAAGAGGACGAGGAGGGTGAAGACAGTTACGCCAAGGATGGCTTCCGTTACGAAAAATCACCATCCCCTCGATACGAAGAAAGAAAATTGTCTTACGATTACAAGGGATCCGAATATCCAAGAATACAGCAACAAGGCACGCAAATGGACGCGTCTATATCTGATTACACGGTCGGCCAATACGAGAGCCAATTTCACAAAGCGTTCGTCGGCGGGGTGACGGAGATACGAACCACTCACATCACGACGCTCTCGGGCAAGTCAACGCCCGATATGACCCGAGACGAGACACCCGACTCGATCTCGGAACCCACGGCCTCCACGGTGGAGAAAATGGAGGAGAAATCGGGTGTCGTTAAACCAGACAAAGACGTTTCCAAGATCACCTCTTCCACTATCACCTCCACGGTGACCCAGAGGACGTCCGTCGTGGAGACGGAAGGAAAACCTGGTCAGATAATACTGAAAGAGAGCAAGATCGGTGAGCCGGTCGAGATCGAGGAGGAATCGGTCGAACAGCGGCCAGAAATTTCGTCGGACGGTAAAGTGATCGTGGTGAAGAGAATCGTGAAGCGGGAAGTGCTCGAGGAAGAGCCAGATACTATTCAAATACTGAAAGAGAGTAAAATCGGCGAATCGATCAGGAAGATGACCGAAGAATCGTCGTCGGATGCAACGAGGCTGGAGATCAAGGAGGCCGCTATGGACGAGAAATTATTATTAGGCGAGGAGGAATCAGAAATTTCACCAGACGGTAAGGTCATCATAGTGAAGAAGATCGTGAAACGTGAGATCGTTCCGGAGGATGAGATCGAAGATTTAAAAACGATCAAAGAGATCAAGGAAATAACGATCCCGGATACGATCGAGACGGTGAGGAAGGAGACGAAACAAATTGTGATCACCGGGGACGCGTTGTCCGATGGTAAGGTGAGCTTGTCAGATGCTGAGAAACTGTTTACCGGCCATAAATTATCCGACATCGTAACGAGCACACGCGCCGACGTGAAGGTGACGACAACGATCACGAAGGTGGATGAGAGCGATATTTCGGCCATCGACGAGGGAACGACGATCAAGGAAACCGTGATCAGGGAAACCTTGGGGAAAGACACTGCGAGAAAGCAGGAGAAGGAGGAGAAACGGATGGACGAGGAGGGAGGGACGAAGAAACTGGAGGCGGAGGTAAAAACGGAGAAACGGCCGGTATCCCCTCACGTGCGCGACATTGCCTCCGATATCGGTGGCGTACCATCCGGGAGATCCACGCCCGACAGAAGATCGGAGGGCAGGTCGTTGACGGGGACCCCCGAAGGATTCAGATCAGGCGAGGTGATCCGAACGATCATCACCACTACGAAGACGGTGTCCGACGACGGAGAGATCGTGACCACGACTCGAGAGGTGACGGAAACGACGAACGAGAAGGGGGAGACGGTGATCCTGGCCGAGAAAGTGGACGTGAAGGTGGACGAGTACGTGGCAAGCAAGGAAAGCGGCATCGACATCCCCCTTCATCGATCCGCGCAGCAAGAAAAAGAGAAGGAAGTCGGTATGGCAGGGAGCCATTACGGCGAACTGCCAACCTCGTCTCAACTCGGCAAGGGCGGGGATCTCTCTTCGATTTCGACGAGGGAGCAGCACAGCGACTCATCGTACGCGTTCAAACGTTTCCTGGTGGAGAAAGAGTACGCCGGCGATCACAAGGAGAGGCAAGACGGGAAGAGGTACATCGACGAGGCTGGCCTCGATTTCGAGAAAACTATGGGGGTGGAAGGAAAGGAATCAGCCGAGTCGCGTGGAAGGGCTGTCTCGTCGAGGTACACGAACGGGAGCGTTCGCCAGGAGGCGTCGGACGCAAGCGACAAGGAGGACGATTCGAGGACCGAGACGAAGAAGGACCCGTTGGACGGTTGGGGCACCCCTCTCGGCCTTCCATCCCCCGTCCCGCCTCGCAAGTTCAACCTGAAAAATGAGAAATCTCAACCCGGGAACAGCGACACGAGTAACAACGCGAACAATGAGCCACGTTCCGATACGGAGATAAATTTCGACGCGATACACGATTGGGGGGAACCGTTGAGATTGCCCTCGCCCGCACCGGTGACCAACGAAATTTCCAACAAGGGAGCACCGGGGACACCGAAGAAGGAGAAGAAGCAAGCGAAGAGGGTGCTGTCCGAGAACATAAAGAACAAGAAACGTTCGGAGAGCCCGGGAAAGAACGAGAAGAAGATGAAAGATTCGAAGAACAAGGTGCAACCGGTTTACGTGGATTTGACTTACGTGCCTCATCACGGGAACTCGTATTACACGTCGTTGGAATTTTTCAAAAGGGTACGGGCAAGATATTACGTGTTCAGCGGCACAGAGCCGAGCCGCGAGGTGTACGACGCTTTGTTGGAAGCCAAAAGATCCTGGGAGGACAAAGATCTCGGTAAGTATCGTCGAGACGTTCGAGAGATCGACGAAAAAGTTAGGATTATATATTAGTATTTAGATTGTAATTGGATTCACGATCTTGATGATCTTGTTTCTCAGAGGTGACTATGATACCGACTTACGACACCGACACATTGGGCTATTGGGTTGCGGACAACGAGGAAGCCCTGGCCGCGAATCACATTGACCTTTCACCCTCGGCATCCCGATGCACGATTAATCTGCAGGACCACGAGACTAGTTGCAGTGCCTATAGACTTGAATTCTAGGGATTGGCAGCCTGCTCAGCCGTAATAGTTGAGTTCTGAGCGGTGTTCAGAGAGTGTATTTTATCGCTTCGTTTCTGGACTTGCCGTTTCGCGAATTCCTTACCGTGCCTATTAGCGGTTCATGAAACTTTAGAAAACTTAAGGAGAGGCTACATCGAACGACATTGACGTGGTCGTTGTTTTACGATCCGAATTTCGTGCCTAATCATCCCATACGAATCGATATGCAGTTGTTCCTTGTTTTTTAATGCACAGGTTAATTGGATCGAGAGATACGTTAACACGAGACTAACTCTACTACGTTATATAATATGACAACATCCATGTGACAACAACAACAACAACAACAAAATATCAAAAGCAACAACAACAACGAAGACGACGGAGACGACAAGGACGAGGACGATGACGAGGACGCGTACAATTGCTCCTACTCTTATCTGTTATTTTTTTTTTTTTTTCTATTCGTTCTTCTCTATCAATCTTCCTTTCGTTCTTCTTATTCGATAAAGATGTGCAATGACAGTTATATTAAAATGACATTGATCACCTCCCTTGATACTCGTTCATGCGACCTTTGCTGATACGTACGATAAACAGATTTGGCCTGTTCTTAGTTTTTCAAACTAAGCTTAGAAATCCATTAGAAAACTGCGTAGAGAATGCTTATACCGAAGCTCTTCTTTGCACCGTAAACTATTATCTTTTTATACACCGATATTCGACTCGATTGAAAACAATTAAATAAAATGTGTAGAAAAAAAAAAAAGAAAAAAAAAAAGAAGAAAAAGAAATGAAGACAAACAGGAACAACGCAACACAGCCTAGCAATAATACGGACAAGACGTACAAAAGGTTATTAGAGTCATACGACATGGTAATATTATACGCATAATGGACAAGATATAAAACAGGTGGACAAAGTTAATGAGAAATGATACTCTTTGTACATTTTTTTATGATGTTAAATTTCCGACAAACCAGGAGATCAATTCGAGCTTGAACGATTCGTATGCATAACACGATTCTTCGTTGTTGTGGAATTTAAAAATCAATCTTCTCGTCGTAAATGTTTACTCGTGTAAGTAACAGAGATAAACGATTATATGGTACACCTGGAAAGTACTATAGATAGAAATCTATCTGTGTTGTGTTTCTATACGTAAAGGTAGAAAAAAGGTTGGATCAAATAACAACAATAACAATAACAACAACAACAACAACAACAACAACAACAACAAGTATTATGTAGAAAAAAAATGTCCAATATTGTCGATGTTTCATTCCTAATGCCTCTCAAATCCGTTACTAGTAACGGTAATAGGTGAATAAACGAAGAAACAAAGCGATCTAAAATAATGTTTTCTTCCTCGACAGAGAGAAAAAAAAAAAAAAAAGAGAAAAAAAAAAGGTAGAAAATTGGAAGCTAAATTAAGATGGCGATAAAAAGTAAAAAATATCGTACAACATCCATCCAATGGACAACAATTGTCCACGTTCGATAATCGTATTGGAATGGACACCTCTGTTTTTTATTTTAATGTCCCCTTTTCGGATCGAGGCGGGACGATTTAAAAATAGAGTTGTTCATTCCCATGATAAATCCGTTTATAGATATTTTTTAGTAGATATATATAACAATATACGTAACAGAATGTTTTCATTTCAAAACAAACGAAATACCACTTCCCAGATCATGCACCATTTTAAAAACTAGACCAAACGATAATTACGGTGTCGTACCGATGATGAGATTGTGCTAGAGATATTTCGAATTCCATGAATTTGTTCGTTTCTTTTTTTTTTTTTTTTTCTTTCTTTCTTTCTTTCTTTCTTCATTAGAAAACGCGATGATTCCGATATTTCATATTGAGGAGAAACTAGTGTTCGATCGCTATCTGCTTCGCGTATAAAAAAAAAAAAAAAAAAAAAAGAAAAAGAAAAGAAAAGAAAAGAAAGCAAAGACTGTAAAAAGGAAGCGTTCGGATTAAAAATGTCGATGGCAATTGAGTCGAGATCCATTTTGTACTTATTTGCGTTGGAACAACGAGAAACTCTCGAGTTTCGCTCGAGAATATCACTATGGCGTTACAATTGCTCGGTAACTGGATGATATTGTGTAAACGTGTAATGATTAAAATGGTAATCGCGATAACGATGCTGAGAACAATGCAATGATCATCATGATAATAATGGCGCAATCATGATGATAGTTGACTGTGACAATGGTGATGACAACGTGGATGGAACGTTAACGTCAACACCAATGCCAACAATGACGACTATTGATGACGGTATGGCGCTGATTATCGTGATAGTAATAAAGATAATGGCGACGGTAATGGTGACTATAACGGTGACGATAACGACGACAACGACAGCGACGACGACAACGATGATGATTATAATGATGATAATGATGATAATGGTGATGATGATGGCAATGATAATAATTTTTATGGGAATGATTATGAATTTTCGAAATCGAAAAAATAATTCGCCAATGATATCTTCCAGGCAGACGAAATAAAATTCTGCATCATGTAAGTACGAGAAATGAACATGTTCGCAACATTTCTTATATATAGTCCTACTATATAATTTAAAATACTCATCTAATCAAAGAAACAATTTTCACCTAATAATAAACCTAGCTTTATAAATCATGAGGATACATGCTCAGATAAACATTGTGTTTTTAGTTGTTTCGGTGATAAAGAGGAAGATGCATTAAGTGACATAGTGGAAAGATTTATTTTACACGTATATATATATATATATATATATATATACATATATACATATATTTATTATACATGTATATGTATAACAATGTTCATGCATACGTATGGTATACCAATTGAACGAATGCGATTTTGATCGACCTACAAAAAAAAAAAAAATCAGTATCACATTCGATTTTATATTACTTGGATTCGTGGAATCCAAGGGACCACGGAGAACTTGAAAAAAAAAAAAAATTTAATCAACGATTCGTTATCGAAATATGTCGAACAATCAAAGTATGAAGGTACAGAGGAATGTTTGAGCATAATGAATGGCCTATATAAATCGATCGATTCTAATATCGTATACGAAAACAATATCTCACGATCGTTCACCAGGTTCAGCAAAAAGAACCAAATAAAAACACGAAGAAAAAGTATACATTCTACTAATTGTGATTGACTTAAACTCCGGGTCCAATAAATGCTGTAGTTAGTGTGTAAGTTTTTACTACTCGTTTATTACAATTTTTTTCACAAGATACTCGCTTGTTTGTTCCTTCGTGTGTATATTTTCGCATATTTATTTATTTATTTATTAATTTTTTTTTCTTACTTTTTCACTTTTTCTTCACTTTCATTATGTTATGATAACACACTAAACCGGATTTTTAGATTTAAGTTTAACACAAAGCAAAATCAATAAGATTTGTTTTATGGAGCAAAAGTTTGATCTAAATGAAAATAATATGTTTGTTATGTATTGTGGTTTTTATCGTTATTATTATCACCATCATCATTATTACTGCTATTATTAATATTACTTATCATTGTTATTGGCATCATCACCATTACTGCTACTACTGCCGCTGCTCTCTGCTATTGTCACATTATCAACATTATTATCATTATCATCATTATCATTCTTATTATTATTAATATTATTATTATTAATATGAGTAATGTTATTATTATTATTATTATTATCGTTATTATGATACCGTTATGATTATTGCCATCATCGTCGTAATTATGTATAATATATATATATGTATGTATAATATATATATATATATTGTTATTATTATTGCTAAATTGATAACTATCACTATTGCATCGTTACAGTCATCATCCCCATTATTGTCGTTGTTTTTATCGTTATTGTTGTTGTTGCTGTTGTTGTTGCATTGTTATTTTTACCATCATTAGCATGATCGTATCGTCATTGTTACCATCGATCGTGAATGATAATTTTGTTGCTTGTGATGAGAGGAAAGTAAAAAAAAAAAAAAAAAAAAAAAAAAAAAAGAAAAAAAAAAGAAAAAAAAAGACGCGATAGCGAGAAATCATATGTACCTATGTATTTATGTATTATTTATTGACAATTAATAACGACCAGCTGTTTAGGTAGGATATTAAAATTATGAAATTGAATGTAACGAAACGAACGGGATGAGTAAACAAACACAGCCATTAACATTGGTAACAAATAAAGTGAACAATTTAGACACAACTTGTATTAACAAATTGATGATCAAGAAAAAGAATTTAAATTAAAAAACAACGGTGAATATAAAAGTTAAGAACGAGCTTTCATTAAGACAGTTTAGATTAAAATATAAAGATGATAAAAAAAAAAAAAAAGGTATATATATATAAAAATATATATAAACACATACACACCGAAAAGAAGACAAACAGATATACACATACACACTTAAACCACGTGCACACATGTGCACGCGTATACATAACATATATACAAAGATATATATATATATACATATATATATATAAAATATATGAATGGAAAGACAAAGGAGAGAAAAAAAAAAAAATATAGAAAGAAATCTATATATGGGAAGGAAAAAAAGGGTATGCGAAGATAACGAAGTGCGAACCTCAACACCTGTACGAACCCCTAAATCGCGATGCTAAAACGGGTGTGAGAACGGTGATACGGTTTTATTTAGATATCAACTTAAAAGGCGTCGTTTTACACGACTTGTAACACGTATCCGACACTCGAGCGTATCGGGGTAAGTGCTCTCGTTCAAATTTTGACACGAATTCTTCCAATTTGACCGAGTCGAAAAGATTATCGTCATTCGAGCCATGCGAAAAAAAAAAAAAAAGAAAAAAACTGTTAAATATCAAACGAGTTGATAATGAAGTGATAAAAATGTTTGAAAGTAAAAGCAATCGGTAATAGTACCAGAGTTTGTTTACTCGACGCGAAATATCGGATACGCTAATGTTCTAGTCAGAAAAACAATTTCCTAATATTAAAAGATCATCTAGTCATTCTTCTTCACAGTCGATCTTCTGCCGTTATGAGACTGCGTTGCAGACGTTAAGACGAGTACAGTTTTTCACAATTGTATTTATTATATAAATCGCGGTTCTCACCCCTTGAAGCGCATCAGCGCGTCGTGTTTTTCGAATAACGAATTAAAAAAAAAAAAAAAAAAAAACTTACTGTGGAGTGTTCATGGTGCTATGATTACTATTATTATGATTATGATTATGATTATGATTATGATTATGATGATGATGATGATTATTATTATTATTATTATTATTATTATTATTATTACTATAGAAATAACAATGTTACGCTATATGACAAAAATGATAATATAATAAATATACATTATACCTTAACAATACTTTCCTCGTACTTATGCTATATAATATTTCTTATTTTCTTAAATTTCAGAAATTTTATTTTTTCATTGTGCGTCAATATGTTTTATGAAAGGGATATTTACATTTAATAAGACGTATGCTTTCTATATAAACAATTATAATACTTATCGTATCGTTGATTTATAATATTTGTTTTTATCAAAAACGCGATAATAAAGGATATAAAATAAAATACACAAAGAAAATATATTTTATTTTTTTTTTTTAGCATTACTTTATTATTTGTAATAAGAACAGTATACTTTATTATTTTTAATAAAAATTGTGTTTAATACATAGAACATTATTTATTCAAAGGTTTTCCATCAATGATTTGGCTCTTCGTAATTCTATAAAAAACAAACGAATGATTAATTATAATTAACATTTTTTTTTTAAATTTTAATTCTCACCTGTTAATAGAACATGTACATCTTTTTTTGAAATATTAATAATAGAATCTTCCACATTTCCATCCAATTTCTTTAATTTAAGAGATACCGTGGAGAAAGGTGACGAATTATCACAGGACAAAACTTCAATCGATGATAATCTACTCACTGTAAAAATGCATGCATTATAATATTACTACGTACAGTATGCAATAAAATTATGATATTGAAAAATTTAAAATTAGAATACAATTAAATTAAACTAAAATTAGAATAGAAAAAAATATCAATAGATGAAATTTAAAAAAACTTCAATAATTGTACATTATTTTCTTAATAATATATTCTTGATAATATTATAGTATGTTTTGTTGGAAAAATTGTAACTTTTAAATTGTAACAATTATTTCGTTCATTGATTACCTCTCAAGGATTGGGAAGAAAGCGTAGCAGTAATTTGAGGACAATAATCCGTATGTAATCTGGCAATTGCAGCGCTATGCTCACGAGGGAGTCCTAGTTGCTGTAATTCACTGCTTAAATCAGCGGCAGAAACGCCATATCGAGCAGACGATGTAAAGATTAATTCAAGAGCTGCTACCATAGCCTTTGCATCGTTCAATTCTTCATAAAAGAGAGACAGTACAATATATAAAAACGTGAAAGAACAGAAATCATTACGATTAAGATATTATTATTTATATTTTTGTGAAATATAAAAATAATAAAGTGGTATTTAATGTTTAATACAATTAATTTCTACTTACCAATCTTGGCATCTTGAGTAATTTTTTTTATTTTTTCTTCCTTAAAAAAAAAAATTAAAAATTAAAAAATTAAAACATAATCTATAAATTGTTTTTTATAATATCACATTAATTTAATATATATTATTTTATTTAGGATTTCTTCAAAACTTTTTTATTTATTCTTGCCAAATAATTTTAATTCTTAATTTCTATAATATGTATATATATTTCTATAATAAAAAAAGGCCATACTTTTTTCCAAAAAAATATAATTAATTTAGAACAATTATAAATTAATACTTACATCGAGTTCTCCTTCCGTAAGATACTTTGCAACCGTTTGTCCTAATATCTTAATTTTAATGGATGTCTGTGAAAAATAATTATATAAGATTATTTAATTTATATTATAAAATTATTTTATTTTTTACAATGTAAAAAAAATTAAAATAAAGCATACCATACGTGACAATGTGTTGATTTCGGCTAGCAACCAGTCAGGACAATCGCCATCACCTAAAAATCTAAATTTCTGCAAAAAAACAAAAGAAAGATCATTTTTTTTAAACAGATTACACGTGAATTTTCAAGAAAAAAATTTTCTGTTACTGTATAACTTAAGAAAGAATCATCTTACCATGTTTTATAGTTTTTTTTTTAAATAGAGATTATACGAATTGTTGATCTGAAAAACAAAAATTTAAATACTAATTAATATTGGTTAAAACAGAGAAAATCAAGATAATAAGACTTCAATGTGAAAATAATTAAATAAATAAAATGAATACTGAAACTTGTGAATAATTATTAACAGAGATAAAAATGGGAATAAAAATATTTGTAATAAATATAGACAAAGGAATGGTAACAGATTTAAAAACAATATAAATATAAATTAATAATCACTCTTAAGATTAAAAAATAAAACAAATTCTCAATTAAATAATTATTCAAATTTTATAAAATTTTTATCTTATTTTATTTATTTATTTTTTTATTTCCATTATGTAAATGAATTATTTTATGAAAAAGATTGTAAATTACTTAAATTTATTCATTATAAAAACTCTATTTCTTAATTTTCTATTTTTTATTATTTAGTCGAAATATCATTGTAACAAATAACATAGTTATACTTGATATATATATTTTTTTGTTACTTTCATTATATAAATGAATTGCTTTAGAAAAAAACTTATAATACTTAATTAAATTTATTCATTATTAAGCATTCTATTTCTTAAGCAAGTAAGTAAACAAAAAAAAATTAATTTTTTACTTTTTAATATTTAGTCCAGATATTATCGAAACAAATATTAAGTACAATTGTATTTTCAACTTTTATTCTTATGTGACTCGGTTACATAACGTATTATCGTATTAAACACGAATATATATTCTTTTGCACATCATAACGTTTTTACGACTATACATATATCTTTCATCATGCAGAAATAACGTGGATATATTCAACCCTTTCTGAATTTGCATTTCTTTAAATGTTATGCAAGAAATAATAACTCTTGACTATGATTTCCTGTTAAAAAAGATATAAAAGGTAATATACAAAGTTTAATAAAATAGTAATACACGAATTAAAAATTTTTAATGATTCGACTATTTCACGTATTGCATAGCAATTCTATAATATCTTGTCGATACGACAAATGAATGATATATTCTAACATCGATATATTTTTATAATCGACAAGTTTTACTTCAAGCCAATATAAGCATCGTACACATTCCTAGCACATAAATCGTTCGATAAAACGTTAAAATATGAAGCAACAGGTTTATGAGAAGTTACGAGATATTTTCATTTATAGCGAGCTCGTGAAATACATTTCCCCTGATGACAGGAAGTTTTCGAGCAATGAACGAGAACGCGGAAGAGAGAAAAGAAAACAACATTGTACACTGATAAAATGTTTGCGTTGAGGTTAGCCCGGCAAATTGACATGAGTTGTATTTATGGTAAAGTAAATTCCCTATACAATTTTTCTAATCTCTCGATCATAACGAAATCACTTGTAGGATATATTGTGGAACACCATATATACCGAAGAAACAGTCTTTTGGAATTCATTCCTCACGTTCGACTCGTAGTGTTATGTCGAAATATCTACTGTAGTTGTTGTTATAATAGATATGTCTGTTTAACGCGAAATCTTGCATATAGTGTAAAAGGTTCAAATTTATTTTTTGAACAAAATTCTTAGAGTGTGAATATATTTGAGTGTAAAATTTCTTACATGGTGAATACTACTTTGAGAAATAAAATTATTGTGAAAATTATGTATTTAAAAGTTATAGTGAATGCAATATCCATTTAACTATATAAAATAGGGAAAAATCATACAATATTAATTGCTTAAATTTTTTTGTTAGATATTAAGTTAGACTCGATCAGTAAGAAATCTCGATTAAAAAAAGAGAAATTACTAAGATTTAATAATAAAAATTGATAATTCATAAAAATGAAAAATTTATAATGTATAGAAAATAAAAAATCATCATTTAATATCAATCAGTTATTTAATTATTATATCTAAATCAATAATATTAATAAAAAGATATTTAATCGTTAAAATAAATTTTTTTTTCAAAATTCTATTGTTATAAACTGAATTAAAACAATTAATATTTAACATTAATATTAATATTTATATAATTAATATTTTTTTATTTTGATTTATTTTAAGTTTAGAATTTTATTATTAGAAAATTACTCAAATTAAAAATTCAATTATATCGAAAACATTGGTTATTTATTATAAGAATTAAAAGTTCGCACGCAATCAATGATATTGTCAACATCGATAAGTATTGACAATAAATATTATTAATAGTGTACAGTTTCGAGAAGATTGAAACAAATTGAAAATATCATTATAAAATTGTCAATATTATTGGTTATATGCTTTTTATTCTCAAATGGATTCTCAAATGGATATTTTCATTTAGATTTTTTGGAATTTTAATCAAGAGATTATAAAGTGCCATAATTATTAAAGTGCATATAATTATTAATTCGATATTCATCAAAAATTCTTGCAAATAGTTAAATAATATATTTGTAAAAATTTTTGCTGCACATTTCGACTCTAACCAATTAATCGTTTTTGAGTGAAAGTTATATGTTATATATACATATCACAAGTGTTTGAAAGTATGAAAAAGGAATGAAAATTAATTTTTAATATTTTTTAGAAAACAAAAATTCATTTTAACTAAAGTGTTTTTTGTGTTACTAAAAATATTGTCTTCAACGTAAATGATAACCGTCAAACACTATCGATGAGGATTGAAACATCTTTCTTCCACTATTTTTCTTTGAAATCCTATATTTTTCGTCCTACACTTCAATTTCGTAGATGTAAAACACAAAAAAAATTTTAATTTGCAATGACATAAGTGATAAAAAATATAAGTAGAAAAATGTTAAATTCAAAATTCATTAAAATTGATATTCTTTTTTTTTCTATAAATTCTTTATATATATATGTTAATATATTTATAGAACACTTTTAGAAGATCAATTCTTTTTCGCAGACTAAAAACAAATAAACACAAAATATATAAAACTTGATGTACAAAAATGTTAGTTAAGATTTATCTATTAAGTTAAAAATAATTGAGAAAAGAATTAAAAATACAATGAATGTGCAACAAGACAATGATAAAACAGTTTTAGTGAATTTTACAATTATCAAAGAAGACAGCTCTTCATTATATATCTGTCTCTTTTTTCATCTCGCTTCATTTAATGATAAAAACAAATTTTAATTGCTTATAATTTGATAAATAAATCTCAATCGATGTTTTTGCATAACTTTTGGGTTTTTTTTTTAACTTTTAGAATGGACTTTCCAAAGATATCTCATAAATATGTATTAGTTCTCTCTATTTCTCTCTCTCTCTCTCTCTCTCTTTCTCTTTTTTTCTCCCCTTCCCCTTCCTAATATATATTATATATAATTGTGATTTATTTAATATAAATTTATTGAATATATATATATTTTTTAAAAATAAAAGGATTATTTATTAAATTAATTTTCACAATATTGACGAATCAAAGATGAAGAATATTTTTATAAGTAATCTTTCACAAATTTACTGCATTATAAAAATTAAATATTCTAAACAATTAGTAAAGTTAAATGTTTGCAGACTTATTGCAACTTTTCATTTTTTTTCTTGTTTCTTCATAAATGTATTATGATATTATTTCTTTTTTTTTTTATTTTAATAAGCAAACTTTCAAAGTTTATCCGACTCATTATTATACTGATTGAAATGAAAAAGAAAAAAAAAGAAAATGAAAGAAAAAAAATCTTTGCATGTATATCCTCCCAAGAGGATACAGTTTCACTTTCTATTTTACTTTTTTTTATTTCACAATGATATAAAACATAATTTTTGTTTCCTTCATATTTAAGCTTTTTAAGCGAATAAAACTGAAGAAAATATGAATTTTATGAATATATGAATTATCATGAAAATATGAATTTTGGAAAATGTTATATAATATTAATGAAAACGTGGAAAATGTTTTCGAAGTGTCATATAAGCTTTCGTTACAAGAAATAATCAATTTGTTCAAACAGACATCATTGACATAATTATCAGATAATTATTTAAAATATTCATTTAAATTCAAATATTATTTTAAATCCAACGATTAAAAGATTCCAGATTAAGATATAGATTTGTTATAAATTAAGATGCACTTATATGGCATATTTGACACAAGAAAGAGACAATTTGCAATACGAAACATTAAATTGAAAAGAAATAATATATATTTCGAGAAATTTATCGTAGCCAAATAAATTGGAAAATAGAAAAACTATTTTACATTAGAAATTAAGATGAATTGAGATCAATAATGATTATGCGAAGTATTGCAATCATAAAAATTGATTCTTTTTATTTCACGAAATCAAAATATTAAAAAATACTGTTAATATTTTATATAATACCGTTAACAAATATTGTTAGTAAGTCGAAGAATAGCAAATAATTTCAAAAAAATAATGAAAAAAAAATAAAGATAGAAAAATAATTTTAAAGGGATTTGAAAAAAAAAATATTATTTTTTAAGTGTTTTAAAGTTTTCTAAATTTATTTTTGATTATTTTCAAGATATCGATAAAATTATGATCTTTCCAACGTATATCGAGAAAATTATCAAAGAAGTATTACCTACGTACACCTACGTACAAAAAAATGTTAAATGTTCTGAAGAAACATAACGATCGAATAAATCTACTGACAGAATTTAATAGCTCAACGTTTTCTTCGTTTAATTATGATTTTAAGCAAATTATTTTCCTTTAAACAATACTATTTCTATTACAAAAGGTAACGTCTAATTTTATACGTTTCTTCTTCTAATTCTTTTGCATTTTATTAAGATGCAAATCATTTTGTTTATGTTAAAATGTAATATTTTACATTGAATTACATTGCTATATTATAATTACATTGAATTATTATTACTAATATCGCAAAAATTCTTGTAATTCGAATAAATTTATTAAAAACTTTGATAATGTGTTTTTCTTCAACTACCAATTATCGCACTTCATCGAAAATGATGGATACCAATATAATTAACAATTAATATAATTAATAAGATTAGAATTAAAAAGATGATTTTTGTTATTTTTGCCATTTTCACATTTATCTATTTAGCATCAAATTTAAACCATTTACATATTATTCTGGGTAAGAATTTATGACATAATTTTTGAGAGCACAAAGTAACGCATTTTTAACCGATACGCACATATGCTACCTCTATCCCTTCTCATTTATTCACTTTGTCATTGTATTCTTAAAATGTCATGATATTTTAAATAAAACAAAAGAGAACAATTTAACAGTGTTCCATCTTTCCATCGAATCGAATATTTAATCGATCCTATCGAAAAGAGATAAAAAATTTTTTATATTTTCACAAATTGAACAATACTGATCTTTTTTTATTTTATTAAATACACCACATTCGTTGCAATAACAACATAATTAAAAAAATTGCAGTTTGTTAATTATTAATTTAAAATAAAACTGTCTTTGACTATTTACTAATACATTTTATAAGTGATTTTCAAATATTGAGATTCCAATTTTAAATTTCAATGTTCTATACATTCTAATTTTCTTATACATTCTTATAATATATTATAAAGATTGTTCAAATTTGTCAAAATTGATAATTGGAAATAATTTTTGTGTTTGTAATGAATATATATCAAGTTATATTGAATATTTCGTTTCTGAAAGATTTTTATTTATGTAAATTCAAATTTTATCTTTTAAATCAATGATTTTTCAATATGGATAGGTATGTATGGATAGGTAATTTTTAATAGGAAATGTCTAGATAAATCAATTATATTAAAAATTTTACGATTCTATTTAAAAAAGTGAAATTAACTTTGAAATCTCTTCCATGTTTGATGAAAAAAATTGTTTGCATAATATGATATCCTCTTTTTTGTTAATTACATAATTTTTGTTAATTTTTTTTTTTTAATAATTTTAATCTGTTGAAATGAAATATTTAGCAAATAAATACTAATTCTAAATTAATATTAATATAAAATTTATATAATTTATATTAATAATATATTATTTTATTTTATATATATTAAAAATAAACATTGTATATGAAACTAAAGATTAAATATTTTTTATTTTATTATATGAAAATTCTCATATATTCAATGTTGCAATGATATGATAAAAAAAACTGAAATTACAAATCTGAATATTAGAATAAGATTATCGCATTAAAATTCTAAATTAAAAGTTCAGCATTTGAAAGCTTATTTATAAAATTCTATCAATAAAAAAAACAAAAAAATTTCTATATTAATAATTAAAAAAATTTTTATCATTAATTAAAAAATTATATTTTTTTTTTAGTTATGTTACTAACAAATAAACATTATACATAAATATTTTCATCTCTTTATTATTTCAACTAACAAAAGATTATAAAGATTTTACTATATTATAAATCGAAAAATAATCCAAATTGTTTATGATAATTATTATTTTAAAACACTCTTATCTTACGTAGTATAGATAATCGAAATTAAAAATAAATTATTCGCAACAAAAATTATAGTTGAATTATAGTTGAAATTTATTTTATTAATTAAAACCAATTCGAGCGAAATATTGATACATAAATAATGAAATATAGATATATAAATCTTTTTTTATTTTAAAAATATATATTCATTGATACAATTAAAAATAGAGATAAAAATATTAAGAAATTAAGGAAATGCAAAGTTAGGAATAAGAGTGAGAATGATAGTTAAAAATCGGGGGTTGTTCTTTCGAAGCAATCGGAGAGTGCGCTGCTGAACCACGTGGTGGGTATAAGAAGAGCGGTGCGTATCGTTACCAGTCATTGTACATCTTATTTTTCCGGAGTTAGTAAGTGTCGCGCGTATCATATAATATATTTACATAAAACAAAATAAAACGGTAGTGTCTCGATTTTTCGAATTTCATCATTCTTTTTAGTGAAAAATTAGTTTTTGCATCGGAAACTTAGCCAAAACAATGAAATACGGTATCTATATAAAAGGTAAACAAAATTAATTAACATATATTTTGTGAATGAAATGAATTCATTGATTGTTTTTAACAATGTAATAATATAAGCTTTAACAATGAGATAAACAAAAAGCCCATAATATACTTAATTAAACGATAGTGATTGAAAAATATTTTTATTTAAATAAATTTATTAAAAAATTTATTAAAAAAATTTTGAAAAATTAGTACTTAAAACATCGAAAATGATAATGAAACAATTTTTATAAAACTTATTATTAATTTGTATATATTATATATTGTATATATATATTGTTGCATATTATGCGCTATAATAAAAAAAATATATTTATATTAATTACCATTAATCATGTAATATGAATAAAAAAATATTTAGATTATAATTTTATAAAATAAAATTAATAAGAATTGTATTACATACAAAAGAATAAGTAAATAAATGTAAAAATTAAATTAAATTGAAAAGAAAATATCTTAGCAATAATTGAAATTTTGATGTGTCTCGTAGAAAGATTTGCTGAGAAACAATTCGAATTTAAAAATAAATATTTTGAGAGAAAAAATCTTTTTCAATAAGATATCAAACATAAATATGGTTTGTGAAAAAAAAAGTACTTCGATGAGAGGTTTGAAAGCGTTCGTTAACTTGCAATTTTAACATGCATGCTGACGAAAATGCATTTTTACTTCCGCCTTTTAGTACATATATATATATACATTATTCGACTATATATATATATACGTATATAATATATTTTTTTATTAAATATTTCTTCCATCTTTTATGGTTTAAATATAACAAATATGAAACTTTATTTAAAATTATTTTTGTAATTATTTAATATATAATATATTTATAATTATTTAAAAATATAATCGAAATAATATAAAAAAAAATTTTATATAATTATATTCTGTATTAAAATTTATTTTATAGGATATGCCAAATAAAATATTAGAAATTGTTTTCTCAAAATTTAATGAAAATATCGATTTCATGTTTATTGTAAATGTTAAGTGATACAGAAGGATTAATCTATTGATGTCCAACAAATTTTTTTGAGATTTCAATATTATCGATATTTTTTTTTAAGAAGGACTATATATATATATATATTTCATAATTATATATCTGAAGTCAAAATGAATTCAATAAGCCAAAATGAATTTATGTATCATGACCTTCATGTGATTTTGAATATAAAAATTCATAAAAAATTTTTACGTGATATAAATAATGAAATACCTACTATGATAAAAAGATTAATGAAGAGAAGATTTATTTTTAATAAGTGCTCAAAATATTGTCTTTCAATTTCAATTCATTTCCATAAATCAGGCCTGGCCAATTTCTTCCCCTCCGCGAGCCATTCGGTTAACTAGCACCTCTATTTTTCCTCGAAGAGTTGCATGACTCCCACTCTAATTAAGTCCGATTCTCCCACTATGAACAAATTAATCATTATACGTGCATATAGGGTGAAACAAAATATATGAAATATAATTGTGAACCATGAAACGATTGAAGAAATATTGTGTAGGCGAAGTTTTTTTTTTTTCCTTAAAGAGATATAGAAAGCGCCATTTTTCTACTTTTCTGAAGAAGGGAAGATGGACACGAATCATCAATAGATTAAACTTATCATGAATGATTAATGAATAATTCTTTATCTCTCTTTTTAAATATTATTTAAAATTTTATTTAATATTAGTAAATACGTACATGCATACTCTCTTATATATCGACGTTGTGAAATAAACCTTGTCATAAATTAATAATTTAATCGCTTTTAAGAAAGAAAATAGACGAAATTTGGTTCACATATTGATCATTGAATATCTGCATTACGATTCATTGTTATAGAAACTTTTCATCTAATACTTATAATAAGATTATTGCTTAGTCAATAAAATAATTTCTATAAATTTCTCTAATAAAAGACTTCGATTATTTTTTTTCTTTTTTTTTTTTGTTTGTTTTGAGAAATAATTCAATTACACAATTAGAACTTCGTCGAAAATAATGATTATTTTTAAGGTATCTTTTAAGGTACTCAAAACAGATTTATGTGGTTTCATCTCATTATATATTAAAATTATTTTAATTTTTTTTTGTTCTAATATTTTACAAAAATAATGATATCATTGTATATTAATATTTTATATAAAAATAAATTTCTTACAATTACCAAATTTGTAATGAATTTTTAGGACTAATTGTAATAAATTAAAAAAAAAAATTTATTCATATGTATAATTTATTTTAATAAATAATGTATTAGATGAAAGATTATAAAAAATGAATTCATTAATATCAATTAATATTCAAATAATAATATAATAATAAACAATAATAATATATTACTGAATCATGAGAGAAAAATTGAAAATTAGTTTTCCTTATATGTGAAGTAGAAGATGATTTTTTATATAAGGTCCTTAAAAATTTTGATATATATTGAAGTTGCAAGATAGCATTTTAATTTTTGAATTTATTAAAATAAATTTTTGTTTACATTTTGAACATAACATAATATTTCATTATTTTATTTATATTATATATCCAATTTTTTTTAATTTTTTACCTATGAAGCGTTACTATTTTTGATAAAAAGTTTTTAATCAGACTCAACAATATGAAATTTTTTAAAAATATTGTACTTTTTGAGATATAAATTTCTGCTATAGTATAAATATGAAATTTATAGGAATATTAAATTGGTTTAATATAAATTAGATACAAAAGAAATAATTTAAACTTTTATTTATTACAAAGAAGAATACAATGAAAAAAATATAATATTTATAATTTCTTAATGATTCCATATAATTTTAATTTTTATAATTATACATATTGTTAATATTATTAAGCTATTATTGTATTTTTTGATTGTTATAATATTTCTTTTTGAATTAAACAATATTTTCCTTCGACAGTTCTACCATAAAAAAAATAAGAGAGATAAGATGGTCAAGTTAGATAGAACAACACATATAATCTATCTACAAATACATAGTAACATAAGAGGAAACAATTAGCAGATTATTCTTAGCCAATTTGTATAAATTGTACTCCTCCATAAAAGATTTACATTCTCATATTACACATAATATAGTACTTAGTATTTATGTTATTTTTCTATATGTTACTATTTCTTTTTCCTTTTTCCGCTTTTCTTTTCTTTCGATTTCTTATGAAAAACAATTTAATTTTCCAATAAAATTCATAGAAATATATTTCATATATATATACAATAATTTTAAAAAAGAAACACAATCATTTGATGAATTCATTATACGAATAAAATTAAGAATATGTGATTATTATTAGTATCTTAATAAATAGTTAAATATATCGATTTATTACATGAAAACAATATATTTTATAACTTATTTTTTAACATAGCTATGCATATTTGTAATAATCAAATCCAAATTAAAATGCATATGGATGAGTGCTATATTATAGGTTATTATAGCAAAATAGAATTAAAGAAAAATTCTTACTTAACAAATATTTACAAATAAATTACGAAATTTTATACAAATACAATTTTTTTTAGTTTAACTAAAAAAATGGAATTTGAATGTGAAATATTTTCAATTGAATTTAAACATGTTCATTTTTTATTTGATACATGAATCTTTTTAGATTTATTGTATATTCTTATGTGTATATTAGCTATACATAGATATTCTTTTAAAAAAAATTATCTAATTCAAATCATGAAATTGTCTATGGAACTTATGATTAAAATTAGATATTGGGTATTAAAATTAGGTATTGGATTATATAATATGATATATTTTATAAAAAATTTTATAAATATTATAAATATGTGCATGCATATATTGCTGTATACTTTTATATACATTGTTATATATACATTTATGCACTTATACATATAACTTTTAAACAAATCGTTATAAATGTAAAATAAATTCAATATATATATTTAAATATACATAAATTATTTAAACACTTACTTTTCAATTCTAATTTATTTTACAGATATGTGGCTGCTTCTTTCTATGGTTTCTTTTTTGATATGCGCGATTGTTGCCAGTACAAATAATGACGATTCTACTGTAGCAGATGTAATGGGATTGGAAAATGAAAATAACGATATAACAACTGAGATTCATACCGGAAGACTTTCGAAAGATACATGGAAAACATGGAAAAAGGAATCGTTCAAAGAAAGGAGAAGTGGAAAAGAAATTAATCCAAATATTTTTTTAACAGGTGAAATATAACTCCTATTTTATTATAATTTCGATCCTTTAAAAAATTTATTTTCTTATTTTTTTCCTTTCTATTTTTTTATATTATATTATATATATATATATATTAATTATGTTAATTTATAATATTTATCAGAATTTATATATGTGCATAATATTAAATAATATGATGTATGTAAATTTAGATAAATTATTGAAAAATGTAAAAATTTTTTCAGAAAATGGAGAAATTATAGAAACGTGGCTTGATTTACCTACAGAAGATAAAGTAAGTTGCTTACCAAATAGAATTAAATTATATTTATCTGTTTTAAATTTTTATTAAATTTCTAACAACAATAATTTTTTCTTATCCAAAGAGGTTTAAAAAAGTTTCACAAGAAAAAAATCCTTGGCTTTATTATTGGGAAAATAAAAGATTGAATTATAAACCGAACGTCTCTAATCGTAGACGCGGAGTATTTGATAGATGGGGTGGAAAACGAGGAAAAAGATGTGCTCAATTAGATATTGATTCACAAACTAAACGAACAAAAATTATGAACGATGTATCTTTGAATGAATTTAAACAAACAGCAAATACCAAAAAATTTCATTGGATACCATTTAACAGTTGGGGTGGAAAAAGAACAGAAAAATCAAACAATCGAGAATTATTTTTAATATTCTCAAGAAATCCTAATAATTTACGCAACTTGGATATTATCAAAGGTAAATTACAGGCTACGATAGTTTATTCAAATAATTTATTTTAAATAATATTATTATTATATAATATTATTTAATATTATAATATATTATTTAATATTAATATTATTATATACTAAATAACTGTTTTAACTGATTATACAGTATTGAAATCCAAAATTTCATTGTAATCATTATGATTCAATTTTATACAATATTTAAAATATAATATAATAAAATATAATATTTAAAATATCACATTATGCAAATCAAGTCGAGTTGAATCAAAATGAAATCTTATTATGTATCGGTTATTCTTATTAAAAATTCAAATGATAAATATAAAATAAATTTTTGAATTAAAGGAATTAATTACAAATTTTGTAATTTAAATATATTAATATTTAATTTTATTATTGAAGATGGATTTATTGTAGAAAGAAATAGCGGAAAAATTGATGAAGAAAATCTTGCGGTTCAAATGAAAAATTTGTTATCTACTGTGTATAAGAATTCAATCGGGAAACGCAATCCTTTTCTTTATTCGATACCTTTGCGTCTATCTAATAGAATAAGTGAAGGAAAGTATACGATAGAAGATGAAATTACCAAGAATTGGTAAGAAGAATTGGTTTGTAATTTAGACTTTCTAATCTCGATAAATTATTTATACTCCTATTCTTAATTCATTTTTTTTAAATTCTTATCAAATATAATTTTATTTATTATTGTAGGCCATTATCAACACCCGAGAAAAAAGCCGAACAACGCAAAAAAACAAAATTCAATCCTTGGGGTGGAAAAAGAAATTTTGAAATATAAGAATATTTTTTGAAATGGATACTTCACAGTGCCTATTTTTTAAAGAGTAATAAAAATTTTTTTCTTTTGAGTAAATATAAATAATTGGAAACTCATTATTTTATATAATCGAACAAATCTAAAACGATAAAAATTTTTTAAATTTGGTTTTTTTATATTTTATATAAATTTTATTTAGAATATGTTCACTTAATCTATCATGAAAGGGATTGAAATTATATAATAAATTTCTTTATTATTTAAAACGAACAACTTTTGAATGCAAAATATGTGAAGTGAGATATATGTGTAAAATATATATATAAATATGTATAAAAATAAATAAATACATGGTTAATCAAAATTTCCTTACGAATATATATGTATTTATTTTTTCTATTATTGTCTTCTGTATAATTTGAAACTAATATGTATAAATAATATATAAAATATTTTTATTAAAAGTATATTTATCTTTGTTTTATTTATCATATGTTAACATAACTTACCCACAATGAAAATTTATATTTACGAATGACATCCACGTTCGAGGTTAGAAATGTTTTACTTTCGACATTGCGTATGAGAGGACAGTGCAAGCTAGCCAACTGTAGAAAAATGTAATGTATAGGCACAATCTTGTATTCTGTCATGGTATGATTGTTAATTAATTTTAAATTAAACAAAATTCTTTATGTCTTAAAATGGATGATTTGCATAATTTTTTATTAATATTATTAAAGATAGTATTTATTAATAATATATTAATATAACAAATATTTTAATATTTTTTATTATAATTTCATATAACCTAAAATATGTTTGAAATTAACTCATTTAAAATTAATTTTTTGACATATATTAATAAATGACAATTAATTTTTATAAAAATCTTGTTTTGTTTTTATTTTCGTTTATTTTTGATTTAATTTAATATAAAAGAAATAATAAAAGAATTAAAATGTAAAAAAAAAAAAAAATGAAAAAGAAAAGATAAAAAAATAAAACACTAAAAATTTATTAATATAAAAATCCTTAAGAATATCTTATCATATAGCATAATCATATAAAGCATAAAAAAGAAGCATTTTTCAATACTTGTAGTTCATATTATCATATATATTTCTGTTTATCTTTCTACGTTAAAAAATAAACTTATTTAATTTCATCTATTTCTATTCTATTCTTCCATTCACATATATTTCTATTATTTCTATTATTTACTTTTCTACGTTAAGAAATAAATTCATTATTTAATTCTTAAGTCAAAATAAAAAAATAAAAGTAGATATTTAATAAAAAAAAGTTAGTGAAAATGGAAAAAATATTTTTAAATAATATAATTTTGTATATAACATATAATAAATAATATATAATATATAATAAATATATATATATAATAAATATATATATATATAATTGATATAATCTATATGAAATGGTCGATGAAGATTTTCCAATAATTTGTCAATATGGAATTCTTTACTATTTTAAAAAATGAATGGATAAAATTATTAATTATAAATTATTAATACAATTTATGGTTTTTATTTATATACATTTATTTTTATATATATACATAGATACATAGATATAATTTTATTTGATGAAAAATAAATAACATATCTATCTTTTTCATCATTCTTTGATATGTTAATCAATACTCAAAATTTGAATAATTATTGTAGCAATTATAATATTGTACGCTTTAAAATAAACAGATAAATTATATATAATTATATATTTATATATAAATTATATATTTTTATTTCTTTTTCTTAAATTTTGCCAGAGACTCGTTTCACATTTACAAATTACAAACATAGATAATCTTTATCAGAGATAAATATTAAAAACGACATATTATATATTTTCTAAACTAAAATAAATTGCAAATAAATATAATAAATAATGTGTATAACGAATATTAAGAAATATGTCAAAAAATATTAATAGCATAAAGTATGGAATGTATAAAAATACTGTATTGTATAATCGCAACTTTGTAAAATATATTTAATTATAAATTTAATATGTTCTTTTATTTTTGAAGCATTAATATATTAACAGTTGCGATTTTACTTTATTTGTTTTTATTGCGATTTATTATATTTATTTATAAACAAAAGTAATCATTGGCTATTTATGAAATTCTATTTTCTTTCGAAATTGTACTCGACATACTCGTTGTAAATGGCTAATCATAATGACGCTAAATAAGATATATATATATATATCATTTATTTAATATTTAAAAAAAATATAATAATATAATTTTTATCTATTTTTATCTTTATGTTTATATATTTATACAAAAGAATATGTCTATATGTTTTAAATAATTTATAAGTTGACATAGTACTTCCATGAGTGTAAAGAAAGAAGGAAATGAAATATTGTACAAAGAAAGAAATGTTATACAACAACAATGATAAAAATAAGTTAATAAAAAAAGTTTTGTCTTATATTTTTTTTAACACATATTAAGTAGAGATATGTTATATGTTCGTGATTGACAAATATTCTGTTAAAAATAAAATTCGGGAAAGTATATAAAATCAAAATATCTTTCATAATGTTCGCAATTCGCAATAATAATAAGGAACTCGCTGATAGGGATCACATTTTCTATTCTTATATCTACCAAGCAGCATAAAGTTTAATACACGTTTAAACAAGAAAACTACGCAATAATTATTGTTGTTGTGTTGCCATTGTTGTCATAAATGGTATCACCTCTAATTATATAGGTATCTGAAATAAAGAAATGTCGACAGAAAGATCTATCTCTAAATATTATTTTGAATTTGTTTTGGGGATGGGAATAGAGATATTAACCAAGTTAATAATACCTAATAACATTCACGAATCTTCATTCATACTCCTTTCGATGTTTTTTTTTTTTATTATTATTATTATTATTAAAATGAATTAGAAGACAGTTTGCAACGACGATTTTTTGCCTCTCACTCCTACAAATTTCCCTCGAAATTCCCATCGTGGATTCTTTTTACCTCGGACTCCAAGATATCTGAACGGTGATCGTTTTTCAACTAAATATACAGGAAAATTATTTCCTCGATTCCTTACATCTGTTTGAAATATCAATAGTTCATATTTTATTTAATCATAAACATTTTTACAATAACGAGATTTATGTAAGTACCTTGATAACCAAAAATCGTTCCCACAGTGCTTGAATTTGATCCGTAAATCCCCGTCGCATCCCTTTTACCTCTCATCCCATGAAAACCCATACGAGCTCGTTTAAAGGATTCGCTACCGCTTTCTATATCTTGAAAATCCGTACTCCTTTTCTCGTAATCAAATGGATTAATCGCATAATCCAAGTAATCGTCGAACGTATCTTTCTTATGTTGCAAACCCTGCAAAATTTTCCTAAATCTTTTGAAATTTGCTGTGTTTAATATAAACACGATTAAAGTATATGGAACGGAATACATACACGAGTATACACACGCAGCATCTACTTATCAATATTTTGTAGAAGATAACTAAATGAAATAAAATAAAATAAGAATAAAATAAAACAACATAAAATTTGAATATCATTCGTTCATTTAAATGGAAGCACGAAGAATTGGTATTTTATCTATTTTTGTGAAATAATTTACTCACTATTTGAAAATCCATAACATCTCGTTTATCAAGTTCTTCCAACGCATCAAGAATAATTTTTTTATCCCTCGTTCCATAAAATCCCATCGGAACTCTTTTTTCCCACTCTCTCAGTAATTCGTCCTTCTTATCGAGAATATTTTGATATCCATCCATTGACAATACTCTTTTTCCATAATCTTCCGGATAATCAATCAAGTACACGTCTTTGCTTCTTGAATCCTGGAATCTCGTAGCAATCTTCTTTTTAATCTCATCTAAAATCTGCGCGTATAGAAAATATATATAGGTGATTGCACATTCGTAAAATTTATTATAATATATACGAATAATAAATATTTCTATTCATTTACTTGGTTGAATACTTTATATGATATTTTTAAATAAGAGTAAAATCTTCTTCAAACGTTGTGAAGATTCTATCCTATTTTCTAATGCAAACTGCTAATGCGATAATACCAAATAACAGTGATGTAATTTTTTGAAAAAATTCTTTTCATTTTATAATTTTAAAAGTTTTTTTTTTAAATTTATTTCTTTTATTTATTTCTTTTTATTTATTGTGAAGATCCTATTTTCTAATACAAACTGCTAATGCGATAATAATAACAAATAACAGTGATGTAATTTTTTGAAAAAATTCTTTTCATTTTATAATTTTAAAAGTTTTTTTTTTTAAATTTATTTCTTTTATTTGCGAAAAATTATTGAAAATTATTGAAAAAAATATTATGAAGAAAAATGTTTTTTTTTTGCTTTATGCAAAAATCCTTTCATTTCTTGATTGATCTCGAAATTCAAAGTTTGCTTACCTCTTCAAGAGATTTTTTGCCTCTCATTCCTTGAAATCCCATCGGAGCACGTTTGTAATATTCATCGTCGAACGAGGCCTTCTTCCCTCTCATGCCTTGAAAACCCATCGGTGCACGCTTGTTAATGTCCTCAGGAAAAAGTTCATTTTTGACGTCATTGATTATCGAGTTTTTCTTTCCACGCACACCCTACAGATATACACGCAAGATATATTAAATTGCGCGTAACATTCGAATAATCGAAATAGCAATTATTCGTAACAGAAGAATAATTAAATAATTCTCGAAGAAGTAATATTTGTAGAATGAGTAATAAGTATTTATATAAATTGTATAATTTTCGTTACTCTACCTGAAAACCCATGAGTGCACGTTTGAAAATTCCAAAGTTTTCAGAATTCAAAGAAGCAGAATTCTTTTTTCCTTGCATTTCTTGATATCCCATAGGGGCACGTTTCTCGGATAAAACATTATCAGACAGCGATTCTTCAGCAATTACGAATGTGATTAATACCATTAACAAAAAGGTCGAATGGATGATCATTCTGTAAAAGATCAATTTGTTTATCATATTAGTTTATTATTTTAACAATTATTCAAATTATTGATTATATATTTCCTTGTATGTTTTGATAATTTAATATAGTTGGCACACAATATGTTAATTATTGTTTTAATTACAAGTATTATTATTCTAAATATAAAAAAGTATAATTTTAAAGAATATAAGATAATATATATAGTATATAATATAGTATAATAAGATATATATATAAGATAAGTATATAAGATAAATGCATAGAAGGTTTGTTAGATTTGTCATTGATTGATTTATCGATATATAAATCTCACTATATTTATTATATTTATTTCTTATAAATTGTCTTATGTGTCAGGAATGTGATTATATTTTATTATTTGTATTAATATCAGCAATGAATTTGAATGAATTATATTGTTCGTTCAAAATTCAACAAACTATAGCAAAATATCTATGAGAAATATCATTTTTATACTGTGTCGTAATCAATTAATTATTTTTACTTTGCTAAACTTTATATGTGAAAAACACTTCTTACATAAAAAGTGCATTAAAGAAAGTATTACATTTAATTATAATCTTATTAAACTGATGTTTTATGAATACTAAATGAAAAAGAAAATCACGCAATTCCTTTCTTGTCGTAATTTTTATGTGGATAATTAGCCAACTCCTTAAATTATTTTATCATCTTTAATGCATATTCTGATATATTGTATTATTTTTTGCCCATTTAATATTAAAACAATTTACTTATAATTGTATTTATATATATCTACATATATTTACATATTAAATTATACATTATATACATTACATATAAACACATTATACACATTATATATACATTATATATATCTGTATTTATATAAATCTACAAGATGTTAATATTTTCGTGATACTTTTAAAGAATCGATTTTAGAAGTCAAAACAAATAAAAAAATATTATATTTGCGTCAAATGAAGAATCGACGATGTGATCAAGACAAAGACATCTCACTTTATCTTTGTCTTGTTTCATCTTAACGAAAACTTCAATTACTTAATAAATAAGCCTTAACTAAAAATCAATATATATATTTGTAGGTTACGTTTAGAGAGTCGATTTAAGACACCAAAATAAATATAAAATTCTCTCTTTATTAACTTATAAGCGATTGAAATTTGTGTCGAAGCGAGACGAAAATATATAATGAAACACCGTTACTTCGGCGATGTCGCACTCCGTTTCTGCATAAATAGCTAGAATTAAAAAGTATAATAAAAATAAATAAATAAGTGTATATAATTATTATCCGAATAAAAAGTCAACGTTAATTTTGCTAAAAGCACCTGTGTATTTTTAGTAGTTATAAAGATGAAAAATCTAAAAACAGGTCACCGGTTCTTGTTTCATTGAAAGCTGTTTCGTTGAAAGAGATGGAAAGTATCAAATTTAATCAAATATAAAAAATGCTTTCTTATAATATTATAAATATTATCTCAGATAATTGCTATAAAAATTGCTATAAAAAGAAATTATAGGGAAAGTAAAAATAAAAATAGATGATTTACTTTCAATTTAAATTTATGAATAGCCAATCAAACGTAACAATTATAAATATCAAAAATAAATACTTTCCATAAATACTTTAAAAAAATTTAACAAATTTAGGTAATATTAAACGTCTAATGTATTCTAATTGAAATTAAAACACTGGTATATTACGGATAGAGACGCGAATGAATTGGCCATCTTCGTTGAAGAATTGTCGGGTACCACAGATATCGCTTTGTAAGTTTAAACGATGCGGTAAACCGTGTCGGGTCGTATAGCTTGATTAAAACGCCTCTCGACATTGTACCGCCTCGTAGCACCTCATTGCCTTCGCTGCTTTTTTCCGTCATCGCCCCTTCGCGTTTGAAATTTACGCTTTCATTTTGTTTAACTGGTTGCGAGATCACAACCGGCGTTTGCTCATTTCTCTACGCTTAAATCTGATAATCTTTTGCGAAAAAAAAAAAGAAAATTCGCAAATTATCTTTAAAAAGAAAAGTAGCGTATTTTTTAATTATGTTTGAGGATACTTATGTATGCAAAAATATATGTAAATATCCATATGCGATCCATAATGCATCAATTATTAAACCTATTATCGTTTCTATATTTTTAAATACGTTTTTCAAAAATTTATTTTCAATAAATTTTCAAGATCAATTCAATTTCCTTACGTTTTTCTTTTTAATTCGAATTCATTCGATATTTATTTATATTTTACAAAGAAGAAGCATTATAATAAAGATATAAAATATAAAAAAAGAAATTTAAAGAAGAAATAGAAAAAATCAAATATTATTTCTTGAAAATATTTTGGAGCAATATCATTCGTGATAAGTCGAATAATTTGAATAATTAAAATAAATTAAAAGATAATAATATATTAAGTGATTCACTCTGTATATAAAAATAAAAAAAAACTTTTTTTTTTTTTTAAATCGTGAGATACTAAGCTCTAAAGCATCATCGTGATGGAATTGTAGAGTATTACTTGTATAAAATTTTGAATCGATATTATATTCAACTTTCTTTTAATATAAACTTCAAAAAAATTTATATTAAAAAATCAAATATTATCATCTTGAAGATACTTTGGAGCAATATCATTCGTGATGAGTTGAATAATTTAAATAATTAAAATAAATTAAGAGATAATAATATATTAAGTGATTCACTCTGTATATAAAAATAAAAAAAAACTTTTTTTTTTTTTTAAATCGTGAGATACTAAGCTCTGAAGCATCATCGTGATGGAATTGTAGAGTATTACTTGTATAAAATTTTGAATCGATATTATATTCAACTTTCTTTTAACATAAATTTCAAAAAAATTTATATTAAAAAATCAAATATTACCATCTTGAAGATACTTTGGAGCAATATCATCCGTGATGAGTCGAATAATTTGAATAATTAAAATAAATTAAAAGATAATAATATATTAAGTGATTCACTCTGTATATAAAAATAAAAAAAAACTTTTTTTTTTTTTAAATCGTGAGATACTAAGCTCTGAAGCATCATCGTGATGGAATTGTAGAGTATAAAATTTGTATAAAATTTTGAATCGATATTATATTCAACTTTCTTTTAATATAAACTTGTGTCGTTTGGAAAAAGTTTTGAGCAAATAGGCGAAAAATTTCAAATTGATCGGTGAAAGATTCGTGTTAACGAACACGAACTATTACCGAGTGTCGAGGTCAGCTTGCCGGATGACGCAAAGTAAACGGAGCGAGGATTTACCGACTCGATAAAAAGATCGGTAGAAGGTAGAGGGAAAAGGATAGATTGGCGGGGATTCGAGTAGCGGAAAAACAAGGGAGCAACGTAGCGGTGTCGTATAGATTCCAGACCCTAAGCCAGCTTTTCTTCACGGGTCGGTCACTTGTGTAATCGTTGGAAACTAGCCTTCTTTGTATTCCATACTTTATCTTAAAATCGATGATCCGCAAATATACAACAAACTTTTCTTTGCAACGCAATCAAACGTCCATCCGACACTTGATGAAACTGATCGCGTCACGAGCGAAAATAAGAACGTTAAATGCTTTCTCATTAAGAATATCGAATGCTTCTCAACTGAAATTCAATTCTTATTAACATCGTTCAATTTTTACGTCGAAATTAGGTAAAAAGATGTTTCGTTTAATTTGGTAATTTATATATGTCCTCGTTTTCGATTTTCAAGTAATTTTTTTTAAGTAATTTTTTCGAATGAAGTGAATCGATGAAATATATCAAGTAACAACACGATTTAATAACAAATTTTTAATTGGAATTCAAAGGATGGTTGAATACCCAGTTATTCAGGTAAAATTTAATTTCTTAGGTTCGCATGTAGGGGGAAAAAAAAATTACAAAATTGCAAAGTTCTTGATTAAAAAAAATTATGAGTTCGTTTACAGGATCCGGACATCGACTAGTTACTTTACTTATTGAAAGATGATTTTTTTTTTTTTTTCTTTTCCAGCGAAGTTAAAACGAAAATAGCTATGTTCAACGAGTAATGTTGCAATTCACAGTTGCGCATCGGGGTTGAATGAGGACGGAACGCGATCGGATGAAATCGAGAGGTGGGCGGATGTGTTGCGGGCGTTGTATATAATGGATAAAAAATAGAGAAAAGGGTGGAAGAAGACAAGGAAGAAGACAGGTGAAAAATCCATCTGAAACGGACACGAATCGTTTCCTCTTTTGCTCTTCGATAATCAATCTCTTAGTAATAGCGGATAAATTTATCAATTGAAACTTTTTTTAAAATTGGACCAAACGGATATTTGGATATTTTTTTTTTTTTTTTGACAAATTAGAAAGACTAGTTTTCTATAAATATAAATTTTTGAAAAAACTGGTCAAAATCATGAAGAAAATAGTAAAGATCATTTCTTACAATCTTTTTATCCGATATTTTATCTTGTAATAAAAATTTTGAGACATATTTTGTAGATTTATGTCATTAAAAATTTTATTAAAATCAGGTAATGCAGAAACAAATAATAGATATAAAAAAATGTAAATATTTTTATAATAATGGATTTATTATTATAGTCTTGAGAAACTATGATTTTTTTTATCATTTTTAATTGTTGATGTATCATAGCAACTGATTTCGATGAAATTCTCAACATGTACATAATGAATATAAATCTACAAAATGTATTTTTGTTTAATTTTCATCACAAGTTCAAGTAAAAAAATAGTAAAAAAAGAACTTTATTTTCTCCAATTACAACTTCTTCAAAATTTCTTCAAAATAGTAAATTAATTTTTCCAACTTTTCAAACAAAATTCAAATTATTTGGTTCAATTTTAAACAAAATTATTTCGTTTTAAAAGAATAGATTTATACTTTTGTCCACTGCTATGCTCTTCGTGATACCATTGATGCAATGAAAAAGTTAAGGATGACCTTTACCTTTACCTTTACCTTTACCTCTAACTCTAACAACTCCAACTCTATCTTT